ACACCTTCTACTCCTTAAGAGTAGTCAGATGCGGAATTTCGCTGCCTGCCGAGCTGGTCCAGGCGAATCTTCAGGAGTCTTTTAAGAAAACATTTGACATATTCGTAAGGACTAAGGACAGTATCTTACTAGAATCTACCAACTTTCATTTCCTTTTCTTCTTCTGTCCTTAACATACCTAGGTACCTACCTGGAGGTGTCGGTGATCCAGTACTATCAAATGAGGGAGCCTGTTTAGCGAAAGCTTCTTCTATTCCGTCCAAAACCATTTGACCCATTTGAACAATCCACTGGCTAATCACAACTATAGATCTGAACATCAGTTAGCAAGTTATAAGCCACTATGTGAAAATCAAAATCCAATATTTCGGAATAAATAACATCAAGGTGAAGTCAAATCCATTAATTGTCTTCGAACTACTTATTTTGTTTTCGAAACATTAAAATTTCATGTTGACTTCGTAACTCTGGCCATTGATGTTGTTTACATGTACCGCGTAGGGAAAAGCGGCAAGCCGCTTGTGTTGTGGTCCATGTTTGTGAGGGGGATGTTTGTGCAATTTAATGTTGTAAATATATTGCACTAACCTTCGCCTTGCAAATATAGGGTAAACATCTACTACATATTGTTTAATCTGGAAATGATTGCACAATATTCTCAATCAACGTATGTAAATAAATCTTAACCATATTGCAGGTTGCCATGGTACGATCTTCATTTCATTTATACAGTAGATATCAAAGGATAGTTGTTTAATATGGATCTGTGAGTTTGTGGTCGTGATTTAAAGATTACTCATCTTACAATAACTCAATATAAAAGCGTTGTATCTGTTGTTCAGTTCCAAAAAATATTCTAGCCTTAACTAGTTCCAACAGGTGGATTTTCTGGTGGAGTCTGGCTTATAGTCCTCCCAGGATTCATCCTAGGTGTACGTATGCATCAGAATCCACTGGTCCAGTGTGACTTTGGAAGCGCTAATGAGCTGCAAACTAGTCAGCTTTTGGTTACCGAACTTGTAACACTAACTACATTTCATTGTATATTATCGTCATATAAGTACTATTGCTACTTTATATCCATTTTGATTCTTTGGAGTATACCTAACAATGTCTAAGCCGAAGAATGAGCTATAGGCCTTTGTATTCTGCTGTTGGTTTTTATTCAAGTGAAACCATGGAAGCTTGCATTACCTAGGTAACAGATTATCAACTGTGAAGCACGTTTGGATGCTTATTTCTAGATTTTGTTATTATTAGTAGTGTCATGAGTTATTCGGGATTTGTGATGATGCACTAAGCCATTGTATGTGTACTAAATTTCGACGATAAACATTACAAGTAAAATTAGGGTGTCTATTGTCCATGTGTAGGGTTTTCGCAGTCTGTTCAACTTCATCGTGTGTTCTGGTTTAAACCAGTAAGTCTAGAATTACTCGAGATTTTACTGTTTTCATCTAGACCGAAAGATATAGTGGTCAAGAAATCCTAGTTAGTTGGTTTTCAATAGTCACTTTGTGACGATTGTTGTTTTGGTATATTGACGAAGTTAGTCGTATATGCAAAACCTGTTCTTATTCGCTAGTATCAGAAACTATATCTTACTAGGGGAAGTAGAGCATTCTAATGAACAGCGCAGCTCATAGATGGTGGTTCCGTCTTCACTAACTTAACTTATTCTGTACATGAAGATTCAATCCTCAGTATTGTTTAGTGTCATGTGCTTACAACTCATACATGTTCGGATTTACTAACTCACTTTCAAACTTTGCATTCCATATCATGTCTAGTGGTATTGCTGAATCGAATTTTAGATCAGTGGTTGCTCTACTCACTAAGCTACCGCTCTAATTAAACGAAGTTTAGTAATCACGTATCAGTTCGTGTGCCTAGATTCTCAGTATTATTAATCAATACTAACTAGTTGTCGTAATCTCGGAATGTGTAACATTTTGTAGCCGTTATTTGATGATCAGTAAATAAAAACCACTTCGTGGACCTAATAACCATAGTTTGATAAAACGTGGCCCCGACATATTAGTTCATTACGCTTTTTTCATACATGGTTCTTATTGAGATTTGATGCTAAATGGTGTTTTTCAACTAAAGCCTGACGTATCTTGCTTTCTATAAATTAAATTCCTAATAATTTACCTACTAATATCAGTCGAGTAATGTTCAGCTTAGATCGCTGAATTGCTTTCATTGGATGTATGCATATATGTCCAGTAGGTAAGTTTTATGAATAGTTGGGGTTGACTATGATTGAATATATTTTTTAAATTGAACAGCCTGCTGTGTGTGAATGTTAACGTTGACTATAAAAAACAATTTTGACTCCACCTCATCTATCCAGATGTGCTTATGAACGTTTTCCTACTTAACAAACATACTGATCTCAGAGCTTATCTTCAGTAGTTCCGCCCTCGTCTTTGATTATTTTCCAAGAACTGGATACAAATTTACGTCGTCCCAGGTGACCACAGCAAGTTGAAATCAACGAGGCAGTAGTAGTACCAATGATAATAATTAAAGTAGAGAATGTGTTTCAATAAGCAATAAATTTATAAAAAATTAAATGCCTGAAGTCATAATAAAGTACAGTCGTCAACGGTGGAAAATAACCACTTGAACTAATATCATTATGCATTGTATTGAGAACCATATACAGATAATTACATTAAAATAAAGAAGCATATAGTCATTATTCGTACTATTCTTACACCTTCACGTTCGTTACCTTTGGTTGTCAACTTTTATGACTTTCGAGATGAATCATTTCGATGAAGTAAACTTATACTTGATATGCCATAGAGCTGGCAATTATAAAAAATTTCATCTAAATAACTTTGAATATTCTATTGTTTCATTTTTCTTTTGTATATAAAGGATATCTGAAAGAACAAACTTATTTAATGTTGCGTTTTTTAAACAGGTTTACGGGATGCTTTTTCTGACGAGTGTCAGTCTAAGTTGCTACACTTCACATCAGTAGGACGGAAAGTATTACCAAGGTACAAAATTAAGGAGTGGGAGTAATATTAACAGTACTATAAAAGTCAGCGAGTCATGATCAACTTACGTTAACTCAAGTTGCCATATCATATTGGCACGACGAGATGAAATTAGCAAGATGTATACCAAAGAAATTGAAATAGTATGGTGGCAATCATAAGGCGGGCTGACTCACTTGGTTATGAGCTACACTAATAGTAGGAGCTAATGATATTACCCAGTTGTCCAAAGCGTATTAGGTCGGTCAACGTTCGAACCTGAGATCTGGTTGCTGAAAATCGAACACCTTAACCACTAAGCCACTACTCCATAACTTCGAGGATGAGTGAACAAAACTTAAAAATTACATTCCACTCCTAGATTAATACGAAGCAAACTGCTACCACTTATTTACATAGTGAAGAGTTGGGAAATATTTGATTTCAATGGACAAATCATGTAGATTGGCGAATCTGAGTCGAATTCAACAGTCTTCGCAACACTATAATAACAAATATTATGAACTTAGTTGTGACTAACTTCAAGAGGTAAACTCCGAAGGAACTGTGACCAGTAGACTTCAACCATGTCGAGTATGAGATAAACAATATCAATGGTAATCAACCAAAACCTAAGTTTGGTTAAAATTAGAACTGTAAGTTAGTGGATAACGACTCAGCGGTCTAACCTTTAGGTTAGGCACTCCTCTTGGGGTCTCAACCTCGAGTTCGATTCCTCGCGGGGTTGTAAATGCGCTTTGCTGAGGAGTTAGAAATACCCAAATCACGTGGCATTAACCCATGAAGTTATTTGGATTGAACCCTGTTGACAGATGCGGACTATACGATCAGGATCTACGCAATCATCGCAACCGACGGTCTAAACCGAACAGATTCATCCACTCTTTGTCTTGCTTTAGATAAATTATCTTTTTATCCCACACGTGTATTCGTTCTTCTCCAATCATCTTGTCCATTTGTAATCTTTTTCACTACTATTGTTACTGTTATTTCTACTACTTTGGTATTCATCTTGATAACGTCTCGACATCACGATATGGTGTGTCAACTAAGGGTAATTCACATGTGGGCAGCCAAACCAAAATGTGGCATCAGTCCTTGAAGACACTAACTTCTAGTCTGAGCCATGTTGGTAGATGCAGACTACTTGGTTGGGGTCCGCGTGACTATCGTAACCAATGGTTGGAGGCTCTAGGTGACGTGGCTCAGAATCCATCACAATGGCGGGGTTGTATAAACTTCTTGTCTTCCCTTAAACCGTGAGATTGAATTACTTTATCCTTTCTTTCTTCCTGTATTGTATTTTTATACACAACCTTTCTTTTATATATTATTACCATTGAAATAACTACTTCTATGACTTTGGTGCTCATCTTGTTGTGTTAATGAGGTGTGACAACTTAAACCGATGCATATACGTGCCTGATCCCACGTTGTAGATGACTGACTTATTCACATGTTTTAGGTTCTACGTTGTTTATGATTGGGTACGATGAAATGCTAAACTTCCGCTTAGTTATCCAGTTAATAAAATACCATCAATTTGTTGACATTTACTAAATTATTTATTTAATTTAAAGATAATTTACAGTTGTTTAATGTTGATTTGAAAAACAAAAACTGGTTCATACAAATAATTTTGATCGTATTTTCTAGCTTGGAAAATGTATTAGACCATGGTACATAAGAGTTATTCAATACCAATCAGGTATTTTGTAACATATCAATTTAAAGAAATGAAATCTGTCACCCAAAATAAACTACATAATAATTACTATGCTATAAAACAATTTAATTTACGTCGAATAATCTTTTTATTTAAAAAAGAAATAGTTTTCCCCACTAAAGAAGTAAAAGTCAACAAAAGGCAGAATTAAATAAATATAAGTGTAATACAGAGGGAGACGTAAAAAACAGGAGAATTTTGAATGTACAAAGATATATATATATATATTCACATTTTTTTAATTTGTTTTTTAATTAAAGCTAAGCGCTGTTTATGTGCTTCAGTTGTGAAACTTTTACGTACAATTCGTTCCTCAGTAGCAAAACCCGGGACAATAACATTCCAATCACGTTCTAAACTTGGGACGAAGAAGAAAAGAAGCCAAATTATGAATGTATACTTAGAATTAAACGGGATTTTGCAAGTGTGTTAAATTTTATTGGTAGGGATTCGTTTTCTTAGCTGGATGTTTTGATCGTAGAGCTTACATTGTTCCGCTGAACAGCATTATCAGTACAAACTTCAGGTAGAAGTGAAGTATTCCAATTTCTCCACATATGACTAACAGTCTGTCCTGTCAACCTCAATCTTAAATGGTTATTTTAGATTATTCATCTATCATTGTTTGCATCCTTACTTTGACTGTTTCTCGCTTTGATCTGGTTATTGGTCCTATAGTTATCCATCAATTTTTTGATTGGTTGATAAATTGGATCAATTTAAATGTTTGTCAATTGTTAACTGACATGAGTACCAAACTTCTAAAAATTCGTTGGTGTTTTTACTGTTCCCTCTATTTAGATTTCAACATCTTCCTAGTCGAATGCATGTTCAAAATTGTCCACATGCGAAGATAGATCATGGCGTTTGGTCGCTAGTTGATGTTTGAGCAAGCGATGGAGAGGTCGTCCACTTTCGACTGGATACATGTTGCAATCTTAGGTAGAAAAAATACTGAGAACACCAAAGAATCCGGCAGATATAGCTTGCGTGAACTCGTTATGACTCCTAACTACTCTTTGATACCATCATCCTACATCTATTTCCCAGCTAAATCAGACTTATTATAAGAAAACGGGTATTCGAGAAGTCAGAAATTTCTGAAGTACAACTGTTTATATTGTTATGTTATGAAATGAATAAATTCAGTGTTACCATATACTAAATATCCCCAAACAAATATCAAAACTTCCAGTGACTTTCTTTCTGATAATATGAAAAATACTACATTATTATTCATGAAGTTTGGCGAACACTGTAGTATACTAGTTTTTGAAAGGGTTTTGTCATACTCAAACTACTTGGTAACCATGAGCTTCAAACCAAATTCAGTAGCTCAAATTGTATCTTCATAAAGCGCCATTTTAACAAATGTCTTTTATGATTTTTTTTACATATTTAACCATATAAGAATACTTGTAGTTTCTGATTGAGATCATGAACCGATTGATGTTAGACCACCGTTGGAAACATGGAATCCCGCGAGCGGGATGGATGCGCACTGCTGAGGAGTCCTACAATAGGATGAAACGACCATCCAGTGCTTCCAGGTTTCTAACGGCGGTCTAAAATCAATCGGTTCATGATCTCAATCAAAAACTTAATAATCTCCACAACCCCTATACTTATAGTCTCACTCTATTTAAGAGTGTATGTTATTATTAATTGTATATTAGGAAACTATAAATAGTTCAATTATATAATTCAACTATACAATCAGATGATAATAACAAATATTAAAATTTATAAAAGAAAAACAAAAACCTACCCATACAAAATACAACATCTTTTGCTTCAACATTTGATATACCCTATGTGAAGCAAGTTGTTGAGCTTTTTCTGCGCAATTTACAATAAATTCATTAGCTAAATTAGTTATAACCTACGGAGAAAAAACAAAATTGTTAACTTTCAAATGTTTATTGTACTCACTTATTATTCATACACATTTCTTATTGTGTAATTATAATGATTGCCCGCAAATGCCCTGGTACGACCGAGAGTCGGGAAAGTTCACTCTCCCTCTCGAAATACTCGCACATAACCACCCATATACAGCCACTGACAGGGAAGTCCTACTCATTGCCTTCTCGCAGCAGAGGCATCGTTTGCGAAATTGAGAGGACGAAAAGCGAATGTTTGGAGCTTTAACCTGGTTGGTGGATATGGAGGTCCCACCTAAGGGAGTTGGAAAACCCTAATTCCAAAACAATGATGCACATGAGCTCCAGGATCCTGACCTGAACAAAAGGCGTATGAACCTATTGTTAGTCACCGGCTACCATGGTACCGCATCTCGTGACGTTGCTCCACTGCCGTGTGGATTAGACATTTAGGTCAAGGACTCGGGGTGTGGCCCCCCGAGAAAACCGCCTGCTCCGGTCTGGGCACCCGGGGAGTATCCTAGCCCTCACATAAATCAAATAACCTGTGTGGCGCATATGTATTCGGTAACCCTCTGTACCAATATTTGTGTTCAGATAAATAAATTTTAATAATTACCATTTTAGTAAGTTCTTTTTTTCAAGCTTTTGCCTACTACCTATGTCGATACATATTTGTTCATGTCATACTGTTCTTATATTTACTATCATGCTTATACTCTCTACTTATTATGATTAGTTATTTAATGCTTTTCATTATCACTGACTCATAAATTGTTATGATTGACTTACTACTTTTCATATATGCATATAAATGGATTACTATATATTAGAGTAAATTCTGATGAAAATCTAAACGAAAACACTGTTCGCTTGCGTATTTTGATCTAATATTTTTTTGAAAGAGTTCTTCATAACAGTTTATATGGAGGTACTAACAACAGAGTGATTTCACTAAATTATGTTGGTGGGTTTACTACTAAAATCTAAAATATATATTACTCGATATACACAGAAAATACTACTTCAGGATCAATGGTGTATCATTTCAACTTTACTACATTTCTAAAGGTTAACGGGAGAACATAAATATTGATAACAATAATTATCAGAGACTTGTTATAACTCAAAACTTTGAAGTGTATCATAAGAGAACATCATGATTCCAAGTCCCACAACAAAGGCATTTAGAAAGTATTTCATACAAAGTACTTAACTTCCAACTTGGATCATACATATATCTACGTGATATTATCAGCCAAGGTTGAGTATCGTGTAAACGGTTTGTAGCCTAAGTAACTCTTCAGCTACAGTTGGCTAACAGAGGTGTTAGCGACATACAGATTGGATTAAAGCACGTTCCATGTAGTATAGTGTTGGGGCACGCTGCTTGGCTACTTCTTATCCAATGAGCGCTAGTGGATACTTAGAGAAGACTCCAGGATCTTTTCATGTAAAAATTATAAATATACTAACGTTTTTCTCATTGTGATTCCTACTTCATTTAACCTTTTCACTTGGGATATAATTACGTTCCTGTTCAACCGTGTTCTGATTTGGAGACTTATCGAGTGAAGTAGTGTCTGAGATTACTAAGCAATGAGAGTAGCTGGGTCGTAATAAGAGAAATTATAACATAAGCACAAAGAAAAACAGTGGTGAAGCATCAAGAAAATTTGAACCTGTATGAATGCTTAGTTATTGTCTTTTATGGACCTGTCCGTTTCAGGAAATGAAATGATAAGGAACTGAATTATATGAACTCTTTAAACTGTGTTTGTTCTCCAACTACTCACTAAGATAACCAATACTGAACGCTCCTACCTTTTTTACGAGTTATTCTTACACCAGCCAACATTTCTCGACGAGGTAGACGGTAATTGGGCACATGTGATATACATTTTACAGCCATCTTAATCCATTGACCAAAGTCAAAAAGACTAAGAACGAATGAGGACAATTAAGGTCGGCAAAACGAACTGATCCAGTGTTTTTAAAATAATTAAAGAGCTCACGATTTTGTACAAAACGACTGTGAAGACTTAACAACTAAAATTTTTAACTAGAAAGACATAATATCAGAATATGGTTACATTCCTGTCTTGTATAGGTAAAAGGCAAGCAATAAAATAATTAGTAACATACCTCTTCAACATCAGGATCTAGTTGTAAATGAGGTTCAAATTCAGTTAACAACTCAGATAAGGAACCTGATGTGAAAACGGAATTGGTTTGCTCATCAGTGATGCACTTGGAGTTGAGATTTGTTTGACCATTTTCAGGTGAGCAAGGTATTTCGACGACAGTAACCCCAGCAGTTGAAATAGATGGATTGTTAGTTGAGCTAGCATCAACTACAGATGTTGTAACTGGACCCGAAGCAGAAGTACCATTTTGCATTGCCGATGAGCATTCATCTTGAACTGGATATATAGCTTCTTGAACAGGCAAATTTGAAGTAGAGACTATGACTGGTTGAGAAACTGATGGTTTTGACTGCGAATTTGTGATGTCAGAAGAAATGTTGACAGACAAACCTCTAGGAATATTTCCAGCTGCAACGAACGAATTACCAGGGTGAACTGGTTGCATGGGAGAAGACACAAGTCCAGGAGGTCTGATGGAAGACATATTAATCAACTTGTTTTGTGTTTGAGCACTGCCAAGATTAAAACCTGTTGAGTCCAAAAGTACTTGATTCATAGGTGTTATTCCCTGAAAGCCAGCATTTGTTGTGAAACAAGCCGTTCCTGGACGCAAATGATTATCAACAATCTGAGCGATATGTACAGGTTGATCGGTAGATATGTTTCCCAATGTGCTTGAAACAAAGGCAGTGGATGAACTATTGAATGAGTTTAATGTATTGCTACTTATTATGCCACCTGGTAATGCCACTGACATTTGACCGTTAGGACCTTGTATGACAGTGGGATTCGTGAGCTGTGTAGCAAGTGGACCAGCAGAATTGGGATTAGATATGACAATAGGCCCACCAGGTGGAAGACCCGTTGGAACTTGGATTTGTTGTTTAGCAATTGAAGATGTTGAAAGAGAAATCGGTGCTGTGGTAGCCGTTGTTACCAAATTGGCCATCAATACAGTCTGGCCAGAGGGGAGAGTAACCAAGTTGGCAGAACTCCTTGATGATGGGATACCCGAAACCGTAATAGCTCCAGATGGTGACGGAGTCCACACTTGGAGATTCTGTGGACCACTTGTGACACTGTTAGTTTGGAGAGCAGCTATGCCAGAAGTCTGAGAAATGGCCTGGCCAGATTGTATTAGAACTGATCCCGGAGGCAACGTTGAATTGGAATGACCTTTCATTTCTAGAACCCAGAATCGAAAAAATTCGGGATAAGATGATCACATATATGAGTTCTGGGTATGTTTAGTAAAAATTACGTCCCATGTAGAGCTAGAGCACAAAACAACATATCTCAGATCAAACATTGCCAAAAACGTTTCAGTAGACTTCTGCAAACCAAGAATAAGAGGAAACCAGTTACGACTACTATATTCAGTAACATTAAATTAAGAAGGTACGCACTAGATGTGTACAGATATAAATATTCAAGAAATCTAGAAAACTCGTTTCTAAAAAACCTTACAAAATCATTCCTTAATCTGGCGATTGGATCGTTTACCAGATTTCGCTTCAGTTAATATTACTTTTCTACCAATCATGTATACATACAACATGATACTTTCTGGAATAAAATTGTCATTAGTTAGTTTAAGGATTTAAATTAATAAAATTAGGACTACGAACTTGGATGTTACTAGAATACGTCTATTCAAAACACCCTATTATCCAGTGACAGTAAATTTTGGAACATGTAATACAAATATTATGAGGCTGATAATATATATCCCTGAAACTAAATAAAATTTGGTTACCCAATAAAATATTTTTAAGGTTATTTGGAATAAATCTTGTTATAATTCTCTTATTACGACTCAGCTACTCTCATTGCTTAGTAATCTCAGACACTACTTCACTCGATAAGTCTCCAAATCAGAACACGGTTGAACAGGAACGTAATTATATCCCAAGTGAAAAGGTTAAATGAAGTAGGAATCACAATGAGAAAAACGTTAGTATATTTATAATTTTTACATGAAAAGATCCTGGAGTCTTCTCTAAGTATCCACTAGCGCTCATTGGATAAGAAGTAGCCAAGCAGCGTGCCCCAACACTATACTACATGGAACGTGCTTTAATCCAACATGTATCCCGCTAACACTTCCCCTTCGAGCAGTTTCGTAGGATCTGATATTAGGGCCCACCTGGTCTGTGCTCTCGATTTCTCTACCCTCTAGGCAATAAGGAAGTGGTGTCACTCTTTGGTTGCACGGAGACCGACCTGTCTGTTCCAGAGATTATTATTTTAAAGGTGTACAGCAGAATACCAGTAGGTATTCTATGTCGAGTTTCGTTGCTGGCGACTGAAGTTCCTCTCAGTTGGTTGGCAATATGCACCCAAACTTCTGAGCCAACTGACACCTCATAAACCACACTTTGTTTCTTTTGCATGATCCGATCAGCTAATCATGCAGGATGTTTTCCATGATAGTCCATAGCAAGTACTTTTTGACCCACTGTGAACAATCGTCTTCGTCCCCCATGATTTCAAATGAACTGCTTATCCATCGATACGTTTCGCTAAGACTCAAGGACTGGCGTCGGTCGAATGACATCGAAATGTGTTCGTATTTTCCTACCAATTCAAGCTTCTGCTGGAGAGACTCCGTTAATTGTCTGAGTGCTCGGTGTAGAACGATAGATAAGCAGGAATCTCTAAGATCGGTGGTCTCTCCTTTGGATTTTTTCAGAAAATTCTTAAATGTACCAACAAAGCGTTCTACTTGGATAGTGGATAGGTGATGGAATGGATGTGTTTGGACATGATGGATTCCGTTCTGCCGACAAAATTCTGAGAAGATAGCGGGTGTAAACTGTGTTCCATGGTTGCTAACTATTAGTTCTGGAAACCTGAAACGAATAAAAAGTTGACGCAGTTTTCTGACTGTGCAGCTTGCAGTTGGATGTTCCATGAGAAGAATTTCTGGCCACTTGCCGTATGCATCAACTACCAAAATGTAAGTTTGTCCGTGAAGTGCAACGGTACTTTGCACATTTGATACACGAAGTGGATAGCTGCTCCAGTTGGGTGTCTAAATGCGGCCAGTATACATAACTTGGTGTTATCGTTTTCATGCGATTTATTACAGGATGTCCTGTGTGCAACTGTTCAAGCGCCCCCAAATGCCCTGGTACGGCTGAGAGTCGGGAAAGTCCGCTCCCTCTCTCGAAATACTCGCACATAACCACCCATATACAGCCACTGACAGGGAAGTCCTACTCATTGCCTTCTCGCAGCAGAGGCATCGTTTGCGAAATTGAGAGGACGAAAAGCGAATGTTTGGAGCTTTAACCTGGTTGGTGGATATGGAGGTCCCACCTAAGGGAGTTGGAAAACCCTAATTCCAAAACAATGATGCACATGAGTTCCAGGATCCTGACCTGAACAAAAGGCGTATGAACCTATTGTTAGTCACCGGCTACCATGGTACCGCATCTCGTGACGTTGCTCCACTGCCGTGTGGATTAGACATTTAGGTCAAGGACTCGGGGTGTGGCCCCCCGAGAAAACCGCCTGCTCCGGTCTGGGCACCCGGGGAGTATCCTACCCTCATATAAATCAAATAACCTGTGTGGCGCATATGTATTCGAAGTGTGTTAAAAGAAGATTTGAGTTGAGCATTGGTTTGACTTTGTTGAAAGATATTTGACATTCTCCTGACCACTGTCAAAATCTAATTTTTGATAGTATTCCATTCAGGGGACCTCTCATATCAATGCATTTCAGGCAGAAATGTGCTCTAGTGACTAATTAGTCCCAAGAAGGGACACCAGTTGGTGCAAGCATCTTCTGAATGGCAGGGTTGGTCGGCGACCGTTCCTATCTAAGATGAAACCAACGTATTTGATCAAATGCATGAAGATACTTTCATTCACGTAGTCGGAAACCATACCCCAACACTTGGTTAAGAACTTGATGTAGTCGATCAGAATGTCCACTGTCAGTTGTGCCTGTAACTATGACATCATCTAGATAAGCTGCTATACTGAGTATAACTTAACATCGTGACCATTATTTGCTGATAGATGACAGGTGCGGTCTTGATGCCAAATGGTAGGCGGGTGTATTGAAATAACCTCGATGAGTTTTGATAGTCAGAAGCTCTCCACTATCATCATCTACTTCCACTTGTAGATAGGTGTCGGAGAAGTCAATTTTCGCGAAACACATTCCACCATTAATCTTAGTAAACAGGTCTTCAGGGACTGGTAATGGATACTGATACACATCCAATGAAGCATTTAAACCGGTTGAGAAATCAGCACATATGTGTGTAGTTTCATTGGCCTTCTTAATCACTACGATTGGTGCGCGCCATGCATAGTAGTTGGTTGGATTACACCAGCCTCTTGCAAACGATTAAGTTCCTGATCAACTCGTTCAAAAGCAGCATATGGTACAGGACGTCTCGGATGAAAAATAGGCTTAGCATTTGGCTTCACTGGCAAGTGAGCTTTCATCTTGGTGCAGTGACCAAGGCTACTCTGAAAAACAGAGGCAAACTTTCTCTTCACTTTTTCTAGCAACCTTTGCCTGTCATTTTTGCAAGTACCGGGGTGTCCAATGATGAGCACAGCACGCCGGAGACACTGTTAATGAGTAAATCCATTATTACAAGTTTTCTAACATATTTAGACCAAGAAGATCAAAGTATAGCCGTCCTGTTAGATAACATATTCCCATACAGTTAGTCTCATTGAAGGAACATTCACACTGTAACTCGCTATCCGATTTCGGCACGCCTCCTGATGCGTTCCTAACAGTTTTCTCAAATGGCTTCACTGGCGATTTTCCAATCAGGTTATACGTTTCCCTAGACACTATGGTGATATCGGATGCCGTGTCAATTTGAAGAGGAGTTGATATGTCGTTAATCTGGACAGCAATATACTTTCTACGAATGTCACAGTCTGTTTGGAAGGTTGTTATCAGAGAAAGAGATGTAGAGTTGGCTGACTTCACCACATGTCGACGATATTTATGTTTCTTCTTGGAATGAGACGTAAAATTTGGTGGACGATAACCTTATTTATGTCTGCGTTTGTTGCACACCTGACATTTGTGCTTCTTAAATTGACAGAATCCTACATAATGTCAATCACCACATATCCAACAGGGAGTCTTTGGTTTGTTACGAGATGAGCTTTTAACCTGGTAATAGCATTGATATTACTGGAGGTTAAATTAGGATTTACCTGCCCAATCAATTCATTGTCGTGTCTGATGTTTTGTAGCCGCTTGCACTCATTCATCAATGTCCTGAGTGTGACGTTAAGATCTTGATCCAATCGAGTTAAAAGTCTAGTCCTGATCTCATCATCTTGTGGTGACTGAAGAGCTTTGATGAATATTAAGTACTTAAATTGGTCTTCTGTCAATGAGCGTAACTTGAACCGTTCTTACCCTCTGTTGAGGACGTCTGCTAGAGCATCGGCTTCGAGTTTCACCGAAATTCAGACACTGATATTGAATACTAAACAATGAGTAGGATTCACCGAATATCTTTGACAATTGAGTTACCGTCTCCACGAAACTGGGCTCTAAAGGTAACTTTGGCAGTATATTGTAAGAATAACGTGAATGTTCATTGCTTCCAAACTTACAAATCAACAATCGAGTTCCCACTGGTTATCTTGTCTACAGAATCCTATTCTGGATGTACCTTCCCTACGCTTGAACCACGTGAGAAAAGTATCTACACTTTCAGCGTCATAGACGAATTCTGGAAAACTAATGACAAATACAATATTATTATGAATGGCTTTATTCAATATTATATTTTAGTACAATATAGAATTATCAGCACAGGGTATTTCAACAAATTTCTCACACAAAAAACAGAAACAAAGACAAAAAGGGAAAAAAGGGTTTAAAAAATCTGAAAAGACTGTACAACTTTTCAAATTAGAGACATGTTAGGAATGCAGGTTATTGACTAGGTTAACTCTAACAACCTGTTCGTCACAGAGTATATTTGCTAGGTAAGGTATTATAGAACTTTTATACTTTTGCTTGAGTGCATGGATTTTAATGTAATTACGTCTCGCTCTACCTGAAGATATGCAAGGAGAAAGACAAGAGTGAAGTGGAAGGTTAGTACCTGATAAAATAACACCTGCCAGGAGTTTGCATGATTTTAAATGTCTATCCACAACCATATTCATTATGACCTCGAAAGATTCACCACATATCTTGCTAACTGCCTTCAGCACTCTTCGCAATACAGCAAAGTCTTTTCTCAAAAGCCCGAGAAAGAATAATGGAGAACAGTAAAGAATAATAGGTAATATGCAAGAATTGACAAATTGTAAGAGTAAATGACGAGTAATTCCAAGAGCATGCAATCTCTTTATGTAGTGAGTCAGACGGAAAACCTTCTTCGATAACAATAAAACGTGGGAAGACCAAGAGAGATCAGAGGAAAAGGTAACACCAAGATAATTGACCTTCGACATTGTGTTTATCAAAGAGTCTCAGATGGCACAAGCATTATGGGATCTCAAAATGGTGTTTAGATGCCGTTCATGTCTCATGCTAAAGTTAACAGCTTGACATTTAGACGGATTAAGTATGAGACCATTACCAACAGACCAACAATCAATACGAGACAAAAACTCATTCATTTCTATGGGATGTAAAGAGGAAGAGATAGGCATACATACAGTGAGATCATCCGCATATTTCACAAAAGTGTTTTCTGTGGAAGATGGCAGATCATGCAGAAAAAAATAGAAAAGAAAAGGTGAAAGAACAGCTCCTTGTGGTACACCTTCATGAGACAGTAGAGACTCTGAACACTTTCCTCCAAACACAGTGTACTGTTCCCTTCCAGAGAGGTAGGAACATAGCCAGTTGGTTATCCAGCTGTCAGTGTTGACGCTGATTAACTTGTTAAGTAAACGTTGTCTTGGTATAGAATCAAAAGCTGAAGTATAGTCCAGAAAAGCAAATCGAACATACTTCTTACCCTTTTCTAAGTTGAACACTATATTGTGATGCAGAACAGCAACAGCATCTAAGGTGCTTCTTTTGCATCTGTAAGCAAACTGATATGGATCAATATGCTCTTTTATCGCAGGCTGAAGTGGAAGTATTAATAATTTTTCCATTGTTTTGAGGAAGGGTGAAGTTATTGCAATAGGTCTAAATTTCACATTCTTATCACCAGATGCTTTCTTGGGTACAGGAATTATCTTCATCTTTCTCCACATTTTCGGTATGAGATTAGATGAGAAGGATCTGTTAAAGATAGTCGTGAACGGATAACATAGGACGTCAGCACACTTTTTAAAGAGGATGTTTGGGATACCATCAGGTCCCAAACATCGAGATGAATTAAGCGACTGGAGACATCTTCGTACATCAGTTTCAGTGAAACTAGGAACACAGCTATTCTTTAAACCTGTGGATGAAGGGAGCATCACATCAGATGACTGACGTACAAAAGACTTATTTAAGTCACAAACATTCAGCTGGTTATCGCTCCTAAACTGTCTGTCACCTGTAAGTTCTTTAAAGAGTTTCCACATACTTGGAGAGTTTTTGCAAGACAAGAGTTTTTGAGTAAACATAGAGTTGAGACGTCTAATCTCTAGGTTTATCAGACCATTTAGCTTACGAACTTCATTAGTGTTTTTCCCCTTGTACATTTTTCTTTCACCCTCCGTAGTCGTTTTAGTTGTGAAGATGTAAGTCGATCAAAACTTACAAAAATGGTTTCAGTGGGACAACAAATATCAAAACAGAATTTAAGGTAACAAGTGATAACATCAGTAGTGATTTTCAGTGAGTCATCTGTAAATAATTCCCAGTTAGTCGTATGAAACATGTTTTTCAGATTTCGGATATTTTCTTCTGAGTAATTCCTATATTTGACTTTCTTGGTTTGATGCTTTCCATATACTTTAGGTAGAACACGAATTATACAGTGATCCGAGCTAGACAATGGAGCACGTTTACGAGTCACATATATACCCACATCATTAATGAAACGAAGTCTAAATGAGCATTCAAACAAGTAGGAAAATCTACTACATTTTGGTGACCTAGTGACGTAAGGAAGCTACAGTCACATGAATTGAAATCACCACATACAACTGAAAGTGAATCACTGAAAGCAGTAACAGCGAACTCAGTGAATTCATCAGCGAAAACAGATAGCGCAGATGGTGTGCAGTCTGGAGTCACGTAGACATTGGTAACATAAACATATTTGTATTTATTCAGATGTTTTGGACGACATCTTAGAGTTAGACAGTCGATAATGTCATTTTAAAACTTGAAACACGCAAACGAAGATCGACACCAGTTCACGTTTACAAACGTAGCTACACCGCCGCCACACCTTTTTTATTGCTTGATCGATCCTGACGATAAATTTTGAAATCATGTAGTGATACTAGGCAGTCGTCCTGTAAATCATTTAACCAAGATTCTTGAATTGTGATGACACCACAATTACGATACATATTTTGACTTAGTACGAATTGAAGATAGTTCACTTTGTTGATTAGTGATCGGCAGTTAGAATTTAGCAGCTCGGGAATCGACATACGATTAATGTCCATTATCTTTAACGCATATTGCCAACCACCACGATTTCTTTTATAGTACTTTTTTGTAACTTGTGCAACGAAAGGTCGTAGGCTTTTCATAAACGCGCCTGCATAGGTTATGCGATTAATGGACATAACGAGACGTTAAGACAAAATGGAAAAACAGATAACCTGTTGAAATAATTAGATGGCAGAAACAGGTAGCCCAGATATTCAAGCAGGCCGCCGGCTAATTGCGGGTGTTAAAAGTCTCACTGAGGCTGTTACCAGAATGCAAATGGGTCATGGAACCAGGATCAGGTCACCACAACGACCGAGACCAAAGTCACAAAACAGGTCACAAATGTCCAGACAATCTGGGCAATTTCATTGGTATCACTGAAATTTGGTGTCAGCTCAAGCAAGTGCATGCAATCATTCGCCTGGCCTAAATAGAATACCAAGAACATGGTAAACGAATAAGCCATACCCAGGTTTCGACGAATGAGGAGAAGCCCTTAAACAGTCGCTTGTTTTATGTTAGAGACAGAAACCCGGCTTGAACACCTTGGCAGGTACTGGCGCTGCTCTTAGTATCATCCCTTGAAATAAAACTGAGCTGGGTCGAGAAACATCCCCAGTTACACTTTAAGCTACCAATAAAACCAAAATTGTGACATTTGGGCGGAAAACTTTAACACTAAATTTGGGGTTCAGGAGGCAATTCCCCTGGGTTTTCAATGTAACCGATTTAGATCTGGCAACACTGAAGATGGAGTTTCTGGAGAGATACGAATTTCTAGTTGACACTAAAAAAGGCTCTTAACACTGACAGAAACTTAGAATTACACGAAAGGCAAATAAAGTTACATTACATCTCTCAGCTTGATACAAACTCCTCCAGTAACAACGAAATTCCAAGATATACTCGCGGAATTTCCAAAATTAACTAACCAAACCCACAGCCTTCCAAAGACAAACTACAAGTAAATCATACTATCAAAACCGAAGGTGCACCTGTGTTTGCAAGACCCAGGAGACAAGCACCAGATAAGCTCAAAATTTCTAGAGCTGAATTTGAGTACATGCTACAACTGGGTATTATCAGTCCCTTTGATAGTCAGTAGGAATCCCCTTTACATATGGTGTCAAAGAAAAAGGAAGGCGATTGGCGACCGTGTGGGAGCTACATGGCCCTCAACCAAATAAATAGTACCAGATAGGTACCCAATACCGCATATCCAAGATTTCACAAACAGTTTACAGGATATGAACATATTTACTGAAACTGACTTATTCAGGGCATATCATAATATCCCGTGCTTTCTGAGACAGGTGGAGAAATGGTTAATGCTGTCCCCTGAGGAAGTCTATAACGCAGACGACTGCCAGTTTTAAAGCTATAAGACTGTTTACGTGTGTAAACAAAGTTTCCACTCGTACAATGAAACTGGCTTACTAATCAACACTTTGCAATAAAGCCTTTCTTAAATATATATTTGTTTGATAACCTAGGATATATGGAAGCTCTAATAAGTACAAGCAATGAAAATTTCCTATGACTACAGAAATCTGGGAAAACTTTGCGAATGGTGTGGTCCCTCGATTTCAATTTTAGTGGTTGGCACATTCTCATGATCAACGAACCAAAGCACCAAAATTGTTCTAGAATTGTCAGTAAATATAACAAATATACAGACATAGATTAGTTGCATCAGTGTGCACTAGGTAAAACCAAGCTAAATCTGTTTCCTTTCTCTTTCTGTCCCAATGCTGTACCACACTCTTTATCAACCAATTAGGCACACACGAATTTTCAGGCTTGTATAATGCAACTGCATAACCACACGTTATTTCATAAAATCACCAGCTAAATACTAAGTAACAACCAGTGAACTACGTGACCACTTTAAACCTGAGTAACTGATCCATTATACTAATGAACTGCATCCCCACTAAAACAGTTTGATATTACTGATCAAATTTTTTTTTTTTAATAGTTGAGAGTAAAGTGAAGTCCTTAATGTGGGAGACCAAACGTCATTCCAAGGTCGTCCACATATTATAGTCTTACCGCTATATGAAGCAAGGGAAATGGCTTTAAATCTCCAACGAAACGCACAGAAATAACAAAATGAATCACGCTATGTAATAGGGCATTGTGGATTAAATATATGTATATTGACCGCACATACTTACTCTTCGAAGGCTGAGCCAAAATTACAGTAACGCAACTACTTGCACATTGTACACAAACTTCCATGTACTTTCTGTCTTCATCATTCAATGGCAATGAATTGGGGTCACAAGCTAATTGTTACCCACAAGATCTGCATTAATGTAAAATATTAATGAAAAGTGCCGATAACACATGTTCAGAGCTTTTATTGAACTAATCCTAGAATATATGATAGACAACTAGGATTTTACATATCTTGATTTAATGAATCTATTTGTTCTAAGACACTAGGGTTGTTCAAACAAGCAACCGCTATATTACTGGACAGAAGGTTGCCTACTTGCGAATCGAAGAGTTAAAAAGCTTGATGTATGAAAGCAAAGAAAAGATAACTTAAAATCCGTAAATACAATTTTTACGCAAACGTGTGAGTAGGGTTCATAATAGTGGTAGTAATTATGGTAGAGACAATAATGAAGGCGATAATCATAACAATAATAGAGATAACATTGAAAACAATGAGAAGGTACGAGACATGTATTAGGTACAGCTACATGTGGTGTTTGTAAGAACCATTGATTCTTTTGTACATGGTGACTATCTGGTTTCGAATTCCGGGTACATTACGTTTGTTTGTGCTCACCTAGTCTTTTATGGCTTAAATTGCGTTGATTCGAGGAAAAATAGGTCGCACGATAATTCAAATACATTTAAATATTACATTACGCTAGGAGAATTATGATTAACCATCTATGAATACTTGTCTACCATGCCTCCTCTGACAGCTATTTACTGAGAGAAAATTCTAGTTGGATTTGGCTCCTATTAAAGACAAGTGTTATATTGTCTGGAAGCCGCCTTTCTGATATGCCATTCGTCTTGAACTGCTTCTTGAGGTACATTAGTCAAACTCAGGTAGTATATCCTCAATTCGTGTACTCAGAAGCACTTAGTATTCGGTAAGCCATTATCAGGTCGTCTCGTACTCTTCCGGGGACTAACAGAAACGATATTGGGTAACTAAAACGGCCTGAATATGGTTTGTTTCTAATCCTCAACACACTAGCGATGCATTTTTGAACTTGTTCAAAAGAGTCCCAGCTCTGTTTTTGAGAAACGTGCTGCAACGTCGTGAGTTTGTAGATGTAGCCTAGTGTATATTTTGAATACTGCCTGAAATAGCTCTGAAGAAAACTCGCTAAATCGTCTCTGGATAAAGCTAAGGGTGGCTAAGGTATTGACTGCATTCACCTGTGTTTGTCTCAAACCAGTAGGATTTCTGAAGCTACATCGCTAGACAGGAATCTTGTTGGTTGCAAGAAGAGTTCAGAAGAGCCGAATGTTTCGATTTCTCAACTTTCTAAAAAGGCCCCCTAAGATGATCATCCCTGGGTGAAAAAGAGATGTTACTAACAAACTTATCGTTTAAAACGTGTGGTACCGGCCCAGATCCAATTATTTTGGTTAAGCCTCTTAAGGTAAGTCAAGTTGGCTCTTCTGTTGAGACGCTGTTCTTCAAAGCAAACACACCACGTCGCTAGTATGTGTTTTTGAGGGAAAACTGTCTTAGCCCCTGGCCGTTGTGCTCTAGACGGGTACATCCATACCGGCACACGTAGGTTTTTGCTCATCTATCTTATGGCATACACATTAGTATACTCGCTCCTACGGAAAGGCAGATCGTCACCACTCGTTTTACCAATATTTCCTATTCACTTCTTTTGTTCACAAACCTGGTTAGGCCTTTTTGACTGAAGCAGACTGTCATATTCCCTCTCTGTGATCGAGCCCGGCACTTTCTCCTTGTATATACTCACATGCACGACTGCGTAAGTCCAGACTCAAGAAATTCATATGCATATGCATGCACAAAGTGTATCCCCTTACGATTTTTGGTACCTGGTTTTCGAAAATCCTGGTTTCAGAAGTGCAATGGATTTCTCGTGCTCCCCCCCCCCTGCATGAAGACGTTAGGCACTGTCTCAGCTGTGATGTCCATTATTGGTATGGCTATAGGGAATCTCGTGGACCGATCTGTACATATAAACGGATAATTAAAGCCATTCATATGCGATAAAGGGCCTACTAAGCTGACGTGCACATGGGAAAAACGAGCATCTAATTGCAAGAAAACACCTAGAGGTGAATTTGTGTGACGATTAACCTTTGATTGTTGGCATGTCGAACACTCTCTAACCCATTTGTGTACATCCTCCTATAAATTTGGCCATGTATATCTGTCACTGATTAGCTTAGTTGAATATTTTGCACGAGGATGAGATAAAGAATGAAAGTTATTAAATATTAGTTTTCGCATACTTTTGGGGACTAAAGTTCGTGGCATTACATCGATCGTGTCACATTAAATTAAATACTGTCAATAGGCGATGGTAGCTGCTTTAGTTTGAGACTAGACTTGTTTGTTGTGAGTAGGTTTCGTAATTCTTGATCCTCTTGTCTGTCTCTCAATGTCCCGAAGTTTACTGTAGGCTGTAGTATCACATTCATTTCTAGTCGAAATAATGCATCTGCCGCCTGGTTTTCCTAACTTTTGACATGTCGGATATCACTTGTGAAGTGTGATATATAGTCAAAGTGTTGTACTTCTCAAAGTAAGTATTTATCGGCTCTCGCTTTTAATGCATTCGTTAGTGGTTTGTGATTCGTAAAACTATGAATTCCCTGCCTTGTTTTCGAAATGTCTAATGATCAGATAGATTACAAGAATTTCTCTCCCGAAGGTAGAATACCATGTCTCTTCTGGAGTCTTTTTGAGAAGAAAGCAATTAGGCGTTCTAACCAGTTGGTTAAGGGTACCGCCTACTGTTTTTTCCGAATCCTTCATCATCAAAGCAAGTGAGAAGGAGAATTCGGATACATCAACGTAGATGCTTGAGCCAGTTTATCTTTTAGCTGTTTAATAGCCTCAACAGCCCAAAAGTGAGCTTGAATTCTTTTGCTTTTCCTTTAAGTAAATTTGTCAAAGGTTGTATTAGTTTGGACAACCGGGTACGAATCTGCGATAAAAGTTAATTAAACCTAGGAAACTTCTAAGTTGTGTTAGATAACTATGTGAGGGGTATTTTTTTAATGTTTTCCACTTCTTCTTTGATAGGCGTAATCCCTTTCGGGTTTATTGTATGCCCAAGAAATTCTGGAGATCGAACACCCAAAATGAACTTACTTTGATGCATGTCCATTCCATTTTCATCCAGCCGTTTTAACACTGCTTGTACATGCTATTCGTGTGATTGTAAATCGAGGCTGGCAATTAGCGAATTGTCTATATACCCCCGTGCAAATGGAGCATCTCGAAGTAGGTTATCCATGAATCTTTGAAATGTTTGTGCTGCATTCCTCAGGCCGAATGCCATGCGTATAAACCCGAACAGGCGGAAAGGTGTAATAATAGCTGTTTTGGGATAACCTCGTGAGCCACCAGGATATTATGATATGCCCTGAATAAGTCAGTTTAAGTAAATATGTTCATATCCTGTAAACTGTTTGTGAAATCTTGGATATGCGGTATTGGGTACCTATCTGGTACTATTTATTTGGTTGAGGGCCATGTAGCTCCCACACGGTCGCCAATCGCCTTCCTTTTTCTTTGACACCATATGTAAAGGGGATTCCTACTGACTATCAAAGGGACTGATAATACCCAGTTGTAGCATGTACTCAAATTCAGCTCTAGAAATTTTGAGCTTATCTGGTGCTTGTCTCCTGGGTCTTGCAAACACAGGTGCACCTTCGGTTTTGATAGTATGATTTACTTGTAGTTTGTCTTTGGAAGGCTGTGGGTTTGGTTAGTTAATTTTGGAAATTCCGCGAGTATATCTTGGAATTTCGTTGTTACTGGAGGAGTTTGTATCAAGCTGAGAGATGTAATGTAACTTTATTTGCCTTTCGTGTAATTCTAAGTTTCTGTCAGTGTTAAGAGCCTTTTTTAGTCTCAACTAGAAATTCGTATCTCTCCAGAAACTCCATCTTCAGTGTTGCCAGATCTAAATCGGTTACATTGAAAACCCAGGGGAATTGCCTCCTGAACCCCAAATTTAGTGTTAAAGTTTTCCGCCCAAATGTCACAATTTTGGTTTTATTGGTAGCTTAAAGTGTAACTGGGGATGTTTCTCGACCCAGCTCAGTTTTATTTCAAGGGATGATACTAAGAGCAGCGCCAGTACCTGCCAAGGTGTTCAAGCCGGAGTTTCTGTCTCTAACATAAAACAAGCGACTGTTTAAGGGCTTCTCCTCATTCGTCGAAACCTGGGTATGGCTTATTCGTTTACCATGTTCTTGGTATTCTATTTAGGCCAGGCGAATGATTGCATGCACTTGCTTGAGCTGACACCAAATTTCAGTGATACCAATGAAATTGCCCAGATTGTCTGGACATTTGTGACCTGTTTTGTGACTTTGGTCTCGGTCGTTGTGGTGACCTGATCCTGGTTCCATGACCCATTTTCATTCTGGTAACAGCCTCAGTGAGACTTTTAACACCCGCAATTAGCCGGCGGCCTGCTTGAATATCTGGGCTACCTGTTTCTGCCATCTAATTATTTCAACAGGTTATCTGTTTTTCCATTTTGTCTTAACGTCTCGTTATGTCCATTAATCGCATAACCTATGCAGGCGCGTTTATGAAAAGCCTACGACCTTTCGTTGCACAAGTTACAAAAAAGTACTATAAAAGAAATCGTGGTGGTTGGCAATATGCGTTAAAGATAATGGACATTAATCGTATGTCGATTCCCGAGCTGCTAAATTCTAACTGCCGATCACTAATCAACAAAGTGGACTATCTTCAATTCGTACTAAGTCAAAATATGTATCGTAATTGTGGTGTCATCACAATTCAAGAATCTTGGTTAAATGATTTACAGGACGACTGCCTAGTATCACTACATGATTTCAAAATTTATCGTCAGGATCGATCAAGCAATAAAAAAGGTGTGGCGGCGGTGTAGCTACGTTTGTAAACGTGAACTGGTGTCGATCTTCGTTTGCGTGTTTCAAGTTTTCAAATGACTTTATCGACTGTCTAACTCTAAGATGTCGTCCAAAACATCTGAATAAATACAAATATGTTTATGTTACCAATATCTACGTGACTCCAGACTGCACATCATCTGCGCTATCTGTTTTCGCTGATGAATTCACTGAGTTCGCTGTTACTGCCTTCAGTGATTCACTTTCAGTTGTATGTGGTGATTTCAATTCATGTGACTGTAGCTTCCTTACGTCACTAGGTCACCAAAATGTAGTAGATTTTCCTACTTGTTTGGATGCTCATTTAGACTTCGTTTTCATTAATGATGTGGGTATATATGCGACTCGTAAACGTGCTCCATTGTCTAGCTCGGATCACTGTATAATTCGTGTTCTACCTAAAGTATATGGAAAGCATCAAACCAAGAAAGTCAAATATAGGAATTACTCAGAAGAAAATATCCGAAATCTGAAAAACATGTTTCATACGACTAACTGGGAATTATTTACAGATGACTCACTGAAAATCACTACTGATGTTATCACTTGTTACCTTAAATTCTGTTTTGATATTTGTTGTCCCACTGAAACCATTTTTGTAAGTTTTGATCGACTTACATCTTCACAACTAAAACGACTACGGAGGGTGAAAGAAAAAATGTACAAGGGGAAAAACACTAATGAAGTTCGTAAGCTAAATGGTCTGATAAACCTAGAGATTAGACGTCTCAACTCTATGTTTACTCAAAAACTCTTGTCTTGCAAAAACTCTCCAAGTATGTGGAAACTCTTTAAAGAACTTACAGGTGACAGACAGATTAGGAGCGATAACCAGCTGAATGTTTGTGACTTAAATAAGTCTTTTGTACGTCAGTCATCTGATGTAATGCTCCCTTCATCCACAGGTTTAAAGAATAGCTGTGTTCCTAGTTTCACTGAAACTGATGTACGAAGATGTCTCCAGTCGCTTAATTCATCTCGATGTTTGGGACCTGATGGTATCCCAAACATCCTTTTTAAAAAGTGTGCTGACCTCCTATGTTATCCGTTCACGACTATCTTTAACAGATCCTTCTCATCTAATCTCATACCGAAAATGTGGAGAAAGATGAAGATAATTCCTGTACCCAAGAAAGCATCTGGTGATAAGAATGTGAAATTTAGACCTATTGCAATAACTTCACCCTTCCTCAAAACAATGGAAAAATTATTAATACTTCCACTTCAGCCTGCGATAAAAGAGCATATTGATCCATATCAGTTTGCTTACAGATGCAAAAGAAGCACCTTAGATGCTGTTGCTGTTCTGCATCACAATATAGTGTTCAACTTAGAAAAGGGTAAGAAGTATGTTCGATGTGCTTTTCTGGACTATACTTCAGCTTTTGATTCTATACCAAGACAACGTTTACTTAACAAGTTAATCAGCGTCAACACTGACAGCTGGATAACCAACTGGCTATGTTCCTACCTCTCTGGAAGGGAACAGTACACTGTGTTTGGAGGAAAGTGTTCAGAGTCTCTACTGTCTCATGAAGGTGTACCACAAGGAGCTGTTCTTTCACCTTTTCTTTTCTTTTTTTTCTGCATGATCTGCCATCTTCCACAGAAAACACTTTGTGAAATATGCGGATGATCTCACTGTATGTATGCCTATCTCTTCCTCTTTACATCCCATAGAAATGAATGAGTTTTTGTCTCGTATTGATTGTTGGTCTGTTGGTAATGGTCTCATACTTAATCCGTCTAAATGTCAAGCTGTTAACTTTAGCATGAGACATGAACGGCATCTAAACACCATTTTGAGATCCCATAATGCTTGTGCCATCTGAGACTCTTTGATAAACACAATGTCGAAGGTCAATTATCTTGGTGTTACCTTTTCCTCTGATCTCTCTTGGTCTTCTCACGTTTTATTGTTATCGAAGAAGGTTTTCCGTTTGACTCACTACATAAAGAGATTGCATGCTCTTGGAATTACTCGTCATTTACTCTTACAATTTGTCAATTCTTACATATTACCTATTATTCTTTACTGTTCTCCATTATTCTTTCTCGGGCTTTTGAGAAAAGACTTTGCTGTATTGCGAAGAGGGCTGAAGGCAGTTAGCAAGATATGTGGTGAATCTTTCGAGGTCATAATGAATATGGTTGTGGATAGACATTTAAAATCATGCAAACTCCTGGCAGGTGTTATTTTATCAGGTACTAACCTTCCACTTCACTCTTGTCTTTCTCCTTGCATATCTTCAGGTAGAGCGAGACGTAATTACATTAAAATCCATGCACTCAAGCAAAAGTATAAAAGTTCTATAATACCTCATCTAGCAAATATACTCGAATGCTTTTCTTTGAATTTTAGTTTTGTGCTGCCTGACAGTTCTCCTGAGTTCCAAAAGTTCTTCGCCTCGTTTCGCCTTTTTATGGTTTTGAATGGTGCCGCTCAGGTATTTATATCTTTCCATCTCTTCAAGAACTTCTCCATATTGTGTGATTTTTTTGTTACTGGTTGTGTTGCGCTTCAAGTCTTGCCTTTTAACATAGGAATATTAAGGCCTACTGACTCATGAGCCCCTGTTACTTAGATTATCCCCATCTAACTTTGTTGTTACGTATGCAATATGAGGGCTTTGTCACATGGTAACTCAAAGTTACACTGTTGCATCTTTATTGCCCTCTGCTAATCGTTCTTCCTCTGGTATGTGGTTGTTTTCACAGTACAGTCGACCACTAGAAAAAAAAGAAGAGGTGAGAGTTAACAGCCTTGTTCGACACTGGTCTTCGCTCAGAATACATCTATCAGCTCTCCTCCATTCACCATTTTGCAGTGTAGTCCGTCGTATGAATTTCGTGTGACGACAATCTTCCAGGTACACCACAGTGTCGAAGGAGGTTGCACAGGGTTTTCCTATACACGCTGTCGAATGCTTTTACATCGTGAAGGATGTTGATGTGTAATGACGAGTTCCATTCAAAGGATTTTTTGAGGAGGATCCGTAGTGTAGTGATTTGGTCGGCACACAATTGATATTTACGGAATCCAGCCTATTGATCACTAGGTTGGGTGTCTACTAGAGATTTGTTCAGTTCAACAGCACAGTTGAAAACTGTTCCAGTTACTGTTAGCAGTATTTCTTCCAGTTTCCGGGATCTACTTTGGTATATTTATAGAGTGTTCTCTCTTCTAGCTGGTTTGTAATTTTTGCTCCTCTTAAATATTTGTAAAGAGAACGCGGAGCATTTTTATGGGGCGCTATCACTGGAAGGGCCTTCAGATGCTGCTCCAGTGCCTGATGAATCCAGTGGTTCTGGCCAGTTGAAGCGCTCTTCAGAATTCTCTAACAATTTGTTTCGATGCCATTGAATTTCCGTGGATGATTTTTCTTATTTGTTCCTGTCTTTTCGACCTGACCTATCATATTTTCCTGTCAACTAGTTGATTGTGCAATATAGTTCTCTTTATTTCCTTCTCTTGCAGCTTGTCCTGTTGTCATTGTCAGGTCTTTTGTATCCTCCAGTTCGTCCCTCACTTGCTTACTTCTGTATTTACAGTCTAACCCTCGTCTTCCTTCACAGCTGTTCAGCTGTCAGAGACGTTTGTATTCTGGTTTTTACTTTCTTGAATTTTGTACAGATTGTCTACAGAGATTCACCCTGTATTCTAGTGTTTCTTGGGTCCAAGAGCCCTCTGGCCTGTTGACGTTTCAGTTCTTTGTGTCGCGGTTGACTATTATCACCACTACAGGAAGACTACGTGCCAGTTAACCGATAAGACCCCCTGTAGGCCAAATATCAAAAGGCAGTTGATGGCTGTAGTCGAGATTCATTTGTTGGCGACCTTGTGGTATAGAAGGAATACCGAGATAGTGCCAAAGGAGTACAAGTGTGGTTACTGAGAGCAACCAAATTCATGCAGTCACAATCAACGAAAGGAAGAATGTATGTGTTTTGGTACAGTCAAACAAACAAGTATGGTAGAACAATCTGTGGTACAACTGGTTATAATAATAATTGTTTCCATTAAACCAATCTCATAAAAGTAGGTCACTACAGTGGTCAGACGGAACCCGTGTAGCTTTGTGTGTGCGTTTTTAGGTGAAAACAGTTTCATCTATAACCATGTTCGTGAAATCACACAGATCCGTCAGTCTTTCGATATTTAAGTCCTTTGTCCTAGTTCATGCGTCCCCATGATGCGTTGATGTTCAACGTTGTTCATCCCTACTTCAGTATCCAGGCCCTCTCCACTAAAATGAACAGGTTTTTTATCGGGTAATTTCTTACTATGGTCCTCAGTCCTAAAAAACTAGTCTTCATCATTTACGAAAGCTGAATGCGCAATCGAAAATGGCCCATTGTTTAGTTTATGATCATATATGTGTAGTATATAACTCTGGAGAGAACCAACCAAGCTAAGAATGACAGAACCAACTAAAGTAAGCAAAAACAAGAATGTGGATTGAGACAACTTAATAATTGCAGTAAAAATTTGGCTAAGTAAAGTTGAATTCGTTACGTTCCATAACTTTTGTAAAAAGCGCGTAAACCCAGCTGTTTCGAACGCTACTTTAAACCCTGAAACAATTAGGTACTCCAGATGTGTATTTTTATCATAAGGTTATCATAACTTTTGACAACTATTATGTTAGCTATAAGACCGAATGTCTCAGATTTGTTTGAGCTATTCGATCAGCAACGCTCCCTGTTGTTTCGTGCTGTTTGACCCTGTGTTTTGGATTAAAGCTTTAGTTTTTGCAAGTATTAACTACACTGTGCTCGAGGGGGCATAATCTCATCAATTTTAAAAATGAGGACTACCTCAGTCCATTACTGAGTTCTTCATGCTGGACATCATTTCTTTCAACAGCGTTGGTTGTTTCCATGTTCCTGTCATGGGGCCCTCAACTTTCGCTGGTTGTCAATAGTAATGGTGAGATTTTGTCTTTTGATGTTAGGTCTGAAGTAGGGTAGTTGTAAAATTGATGACAAACTGTACTATTTTCGTAACGCAAAACCAACACGACCCCGATCTCCGGTGGTTCTAGTAAGGAATATCGTAAAAATCTGTAAAGCTGGTAAAACTTTTGGAAATTGAATCGGTTTCTTAAAAGGGAAGGAAAGTCGTTTCTACGGTATTACACATACTGTTTCCCAACTAGTTTGTATCACTGAACTCTATCACCGCCAGATGTAAGCGTTTAAGAATAAAGCGTAGTGTACTACGTAACAGCGAATTAGATTGTTAGGGTCCTTTGCATAATGAATAAAGCTGTTGATCTTACCTGTGAAGACTAACAGCTTTTAGGACTATATGAGAACTTCCGTCTTAATTTGATCGAATAGTTCGCTATATTTGGGTGCCGAGTTGATATGAGACACTAATGGTAATTTTGATGTCTGATTATAATTCCTTGATGATGTTTGAACTAGATTAACAGGCGAAGTGTTGAACTTACTTCAAATTCACTCACTGAAATTTTAACAATACATTCTTCATTAAAGCTTTAGAACTATCCAAACTGGTTTTCTGATTCATCTTTATTATGTTATTAGGACTTTAATGTTCTCAAAAAGGTTGTAAATTTTTCGTTTCGAAGTTTGAACTGGTGTTTTCTCACATTTAGATTCGTGCTTACGTTTCCAGTTTTTGTATGGTGATGCTAATTTCCTTCCTCAGCGTGAGGATATTCGTGATAAGTTCTAAAATGCTCCCATCAGTTACTTTAATTTTCAAGATAACAAAAATGATTTTTATTTAACCTCAGATCGTATTCAGGGGTTCGTTTACTTATACAAGTAATAAATGTAAAATGATTTAGTACTAAAGTCCAGATTCATGTACCCACCCATTCTCTTGTGTAATGTATTGAAGAAGTACTTTATTATACTTCAAAGGAGCTTTGTATTTCATCAGCTGTGAAATAATGGGCTCGTTTCGAATTCAAGTTAGGATTTAGGCCTCTATTTGTTGACCAAAACTTTTGTTTTAAAGATGTCTCCACTAGAAGTATTACTTTAGCATTTGATTCATACTGCCTTTTTGGCATCTTCAACTCATTAGTAAGTCGTTAGTATATTACACACTTCCACGTTCATCAAGTATGCAAACTTGTATATAGTCCCTGCACTAGCACACAGATTCCTCAGGGTCGATTATTCTTCAAATCAGCTGTTAGTGCTATCTCCGTGTAATTTACAAGTGCTATGGTATATTGAGTATGACTGGTTTTCCAATATTTGGAGCTTGTTGGAACTTTTACATAATTAACTAGTTTTTCTTATTTTGGACAAGTTATCTCCCCGCTAACCAAACGTTTATTGCACAGAAGTGATCTATCTTTTACCCTAACAATATGAAAGATTGAAGTGGATAAAATATATAAATCACAAGTATTCGATTATAAGTATATCCGAAACGCCGTATGCAACACAGTAAACAATGCTCGGACTAGATCTATATATGGGGATTATTCAGCTATTGGGATAAGACATGGGTTTTACAGATTTAGCTACAGCGTACCATTTAGGTGGCTTTGCAGTCTGTCGAAATACCCTGGTGCGGCCGAGTCTCGAAAGTCTACTCTCCCTCTCGAAATACTCGCACATAACCACCCATATACAGCCACTGACAGGGAAGTCCTACTCATTGCCTTCTCGCAGCAGAGGCGTCGTTTGCGAAATTGAGAGGACGAAAAGCGAATGTTTGGAGCTTTAACCTGGTTGGTGGATATGGAGGTCCCACCTAAGGGAGTTGGAAAACCCTAATTCCAAAACAATAATGCACATGAGTTCCAGGATCCTGACCTGAACAAAAGGCGTATGAACCTATTGTTAGTCACCGGCTACCATGGTACCGCATCTCGTGACGTTGCTCCACTGCCTTGTGGACTAGACATTTAGGTCAAGGACTCAGGGTGTGGCCCCCTAAGAAAACCACCTGCTTCGGTCTGGGCACCCGGAGAGTATCACGGCCCACACACAAATCAAATGATTTATGTGGCGCATATGTATTTGGTGACTCCTTGTACCAGTGTTTGTGTTCGAACAAATAAATAAATAAAGGTTGTTGACTGCTAGTGTGAGCCGCCTATGGAGGACTCATAGATCTCCCTATTGTACAAGTTATATTTCGCGGTTAAGGGGTAGGTAAATTCATTTAAAACTTGTCTAAATGAAATAAATGTATTTATTCTTTGTCTTGTTCTTTATGTCAATCATTTTACTTCCGTATTCTATTTCTCGTTTTCCTAAGACTAATGGTACTATTATCCCCTATTACTAGTATAAGAATTTTGTTGTGTATTACTCATTATCAAAATTAAAGCAAATATTTGCTTTTGGCTGTGCTGTTGATGTATGTATTTGTTACAGTGAACTGAAAACTACCTAAAACAACTTACTGGAACCTAACTTATCCGATTGTTTTCCTTTGCTCGTGATCGTAACCCTAATAAACGATATTTCCAACTGCAGTTTACTGAAGTCTATTTTAAGGTTCATCGCACGTTTGTATAATAAACTTTCGTAATATAAAATAATACGGTGCAAATTTAACAAATAATTGACAATAACACAAGTAAACATTCACCGATGTCTGTGTTTGTTGATGGCTTCTATGTATATACCTGTACTATCATCTGTTCGTGTATGAGATGCTAGCATCAAAAATCGGTTTACTGATCATCTTCAGTCTTTAGTTCCACATCAACATGCTATTCTAGATAAATTAAGAGGAGGTAGAGCTAAGAAGACTTGGGGATTGGGCTAACTAACTATAAAGGTTGGTATAGTTATATGTTAGTAACTATTACTCAACAAGTTTACTGAAACTAAAGCCTTAATTGAGGAGTTTTTCATTTTGGTGTATTAAGTGCTCTTGTCATTTACAATTGGGAAGTCTAAGTTTATCTCCTTCACCTCATTCTCAAGTACTTCATTTGTGACTTACATCACTTTGTAACTTCCTTTTTATAAAAATGTTATGGTTCCCGACACTTTTTTGGTAGTTCATAATCTAGAGGTGACTATATGATTATGTCTGTTTACTTCACTATCTTGTGTTGTATTGTATTTGATTGCAAAAAACAGTGTTAATATATATTTTGTTGACCAAGGACAGTCACAAATCAGGATATTCGCATGTATTTTTTGGTTTCGTGCCTCCTTACAACTACCTTTGTAGTACTATCGTTTTTTAAATTTTCTTTCCATAGCTGGTTCAAAATCCTACTTTACCATGGTTTGCAGTCACTGGTGATTATTGTCCATCCTCCTCTACTCAATCTGCTCAAACCCAACATTTCGCACAAGTTTTTGGATTGTCTGTGCCAATCAGAAGAGTACTGAGTCCCAAACAGTCACTAACCCACTCTCATTTTGCATTATTTCCAACTTGTCAAAGTGTTGACACTCAAAGTCGTCATCAATTGAGCTCTGGAGATCACTGTTCAAATATCATTACACCTGTAATCGTCACTATGCCTCGTCACTCACGTTCAAATGGAAACCAGGATATGGATCTACCAGTTTTCACAGAACCACTTGGTCCAATTGCAACTGGATGTAAACGTGATGCTTCTGCACTGTCAGCAAATTGTACTATCCCCCCTATTACGACAACAGCTAACATCCCATTGGATACTAACGATCAGTGCACTATTTATCTCCCACCAAAACCCAAAGAATCGGTGAGTTTGTTTTCATTATCAACTAGGAAAAAATTTGAGGTTTTTGTTGTATAGATTAATGTAGGAAGTTATCACCGTTGACACACTTTTCTACTTAGATAGTTTTTATTACCATTTTCCATCCCTTATTTAGCTGGTGTGTGTGAACTTATTAAAAATATACATAGTTGAATATTATACTCTCGATCGCTTCTAAGTGTATTTACTCTATCGTGTTGACGATGGGATTTTTAATCTTTTTAGATTAACCAGTTTACGTGTTAACTGTTAGATATTACTACACTGGATTATCGAGAACTCTGATATTTACGGATATATTTCTAGATAATCATGCCAAAAACTTCACTTTATGGTTTAATAATAATCGTGAAATCCTTAGAAAAGAAATCCCATCTTTATTTGTTCATGTTCATTTATTTATAAAGCTTCCGGGATCTTCGTGTGAAATCAATATTCATAGTTTTCAATTGTCATGTGTTTGTAACTGAAATTTATTGACAAAATCAGGATTACTAAGTGAATTATTAACATTATCAATATGAACTACACCTCATTCATTTGATTATTATTTGCATCTATTATAAGCTTAACTGTTTATATGAATCAAGAACATTTATCCGATTCCCTGATTGCTACCCCGTAATTCTCTTATCCAATCTATCGGTAGTTGTTACTTTAATTAGTTAATTTATGTATTTAAACACATAAACATTGGTACAAGGAGTCACCAAATACATATGCGCCACATAAATCATTTGATTTGTGTGTGGGCCGTGATACTCTCCGGGTGCCCAGACCGAAGCAGGTGGTTTTCTTAGGGGGCCACACCCTGAGTCTTTGACCTAAATGTCTAATCCACAAGGCAGTGGAGCAACGTCACGAGATGCGGTACCATGGTAGCCAGTGACTAACAATAGGTTCATACGCCTTTTGTTCAGGTCAGGATCCTGGAACTCATGTGCATTATTGTTTTGGAATTAGGGTTTTCCAACTCCCTTAGGTGGGACCTCCATATCCACCAACCAGGTTAAAGCTCCAAACATTCGCTTTTCGTCCTCTCAATTTCGCAAACGACGCCTCTGCTGCGAGAAGGCAATGAGTAGGACTTCCCTGTCAGTGGCTGTATATGGGTGGTTATGTGCGAGTATTTCGAGAGGGAGAGTGGACTTTCCCAACCCTTCGCCGTACCAGCACATTTCGATAGAATGCAAAGGCAGTCGTCGTAATTATTCCATATACCCTCTGGTATAACGTCTTACTTCGTATGTATCACAGATACAGGTTGGTTTTGTTTTGAAAAATAAGTCATTTTTCTCAAAAATAATATGTGTTAACCTTAGACGGGATTTTCCAGCTTTATATAAAGTTTTCATACTGTTTCTATTGATTGTGTTTAGTTACGTTGTGTCAGGCTTACTTAACTGTGTTATCATATCTACAGGTTTCTTTTTCACGTAGTCTCTATAAATGACTTCATATCCTTACCATTTTAATGTTTCTGATCATTGTCTATTGAGTATTTCACTTTGTTATCAGAATAAATGTTTTGGATGTCATTCTTTTCATTTGCCCAATCTTGTATTTTTTTTCAGGAGAGAATGATGCATATTCAACGGTGGGTGAATCATCTTCCTTGGAATCTAAATAATGTATGCGATGCCTCTGGTCGGTCTCACGTACCTTATCCCATTCCTGTTCGTTCTCACATAGACGATGATCGTGAATTAACTCCCCCTCCTGGTCGAACTTATTTAACTAGATTACCATTTACACCCGAAGAACAACAAGCCATGGTCCGATTCTTTCCTTCCCATACAAGTCAGTTTCGGCACCAACATCAGACACACGCTGTTCCGGATCCCCAACCTAGGTATCACACCTTCCCGAATCATTGTCCGAATCAACAAACATCCAATAATCATCAATTTTCTTCATCACAGAGACCTAGTCAGGAAGCCTGTAATGTCTTTCCTTCCGTTAGAAATATTCCTGAGTATGTCAATGAGAATAACCGAAAACGTGGACAAGAAGATATCGGAGGTAGTCGATTATTTGCAGATTGGGAGACCAGACTAATTAGCCGACTTTTTAAAGAGTTCTTCCATGGAAATCCTAAACCTAATGGTGTATGCGGTACACTGCCTTCTCTTAGTGAAGTTCGATCTCGTATAGCTTCTTCACGATTGAAAGAAACAAGAACAGCTACAGCTGTCAGATCCAAAATTCGTCGAATGCAATCATCCGGTACATGGTTAAAGTATCAATGATAACTATTTTCCACTGTCTAAAACCCTTTTAATAGTCCTTTTGTATTAAGTGAGTAATGGTGCTCAATTGTTAAAAGCCTGCAGACAACAATAAAAAACAAATAGCGCTCAAATAATATATATACATGGTTTCAAACCGGAATTTCTCTCATTCTACGTCATTGTTCTAGTTTTCCAGTCAATCTTTATAGTTCATATTTCAACCGTATCATTCCAGAATACATATGTATGTATGTTCGATCCTTTTACTGTAACCTTACTGTTTGCAGAAATATAAATCTACTAATCACCTACAATATATTTATATATAAAATATGTATGTATGCAAAAGCAATTTACTTGATGACAACATATGCTGTTTATAGCCCCCGTGTTCTTTCTGACCTTCAATATACCAATGTTTGAAACTTATCCTGCCCTATTTAATACTTTATGTACTCTCATATTTATTTCCGTCTTCTTTCTCATTCATTTATTTGTGGTACTTCGTACAGTATTATCATTTTATATACATTCATATATTATCACCATTATCAGCGTTTTGTTTCCAAGTTTTCTTTATCTCTATAATTTGTCTCTTATATCATGTGTTATTAGATATCAATTGTGCATATCAACTCTTCTTGTTTGTTTGTTTCCGTTTCTTGTATGTTAATTTGTTTCTGGAAGGTTATTACCACTTATCTTGGTTTTTTTTTCATTCTGTGTACACGAGAAACAAGAAATCAATGTAATAAACCTTGTCTTCATTCTGTTTTATAACAAGGGTAGCCTGGTTTTCTAATTTATTGGTTAATAATACTAATAATAACGATCTCTTAAATAAAATTTCTCGTAGAAGCTGTTCAATTATTTCAACTGATATCTATTATAAATGTATCATAGAATTTAGATTTGTTTGATGTACATGTGTTTCAAGTTAATTCGAAAAATAATAACTCATTCTTTACCTACATTCGATACGTTTTCTCTGTGTAATCTAAAGTGCATAGTGATAGGAATGTTATATGATAATCAGTAATTTTTCAAGATCTGTTAATTCTTATTTCTGTTTTCCATAAAATAATTGTGTACAGTTTTTTAAACTGACAAAAGGACAGTGAACAGCGAACAGATATATGTACTGAGTAGTTTGTTCGAGATCCAATGTCTTGATATTGGTAAGTAGCATAGTAGTTCAACGCGGCCTTAGAATGAAAATCTACACTATTTTAACTGACAGTAATTAGCTCTACAGCTTTAATTCTTGTTATGATGAAGTAGACGATTGTTTTTAAAAAACGCCTTCTTTAGTCTTGTACAAATAGGTCGACAAGTGTATGAAGCATTTTCAACTTTTCTTGTTTACTTCGAAGTTCACTACCGTAGATCGCAACATGTTAGCCACGTGTGTGTCCGTTCCATACTGGAAAAGTGCAATATACAGAATATCTTAAATAAGGTGACGTCTTATTAACGTTGATTTTATCTACATACTAGAATCTAGGTAGTAGATTCCAAAACAGATCACTTTCTGGAACTCAGAAGTTCGAGGAAACACTCGTCGGTAATACTTCGAATAATGGTAATGAATATTCCGGATGAAATTCATACGTATTAATTCTTTCTTGTACTATATCCTTATATGCCATCTTTCTTTTAAATATTTTCATCATTGAATTAACTACTTCTATGAATCCGGTGTTTATCTTGCTGTGCTAGTGCGTTATGGAACCTTGAACCGATGCATATATGTGCCTGGTCCTACGTTGTAGCTGACTGACTTGAATGAATACCATTTGTGCTTTTGGATTTCTCTTCATCGTAAGACGATATTTCAAAGTATATTTCTGAATTAAAATGCAACTTTTAAATTGTAGAAAGTCTTGGCAGATATTTTTGAGTGTACAGTCCGTTGCAAATCTAACTAATAGGATTATAATCTTTTCCGTGTATTTCTATCGAGCCAAAATTGGATGCTTAAAAACGTTTGTTAGTAAAGAATGTTTGCCCCCTTTTCTAGTTTTTCTTACAAATAAAAACGACCGAAACAAATCTGTTAGAGTAACTGAGCTTAAATTTTATTTCCTAATCATCGCATCAACATATCACTGGTTACCTTATCTGAAAAAGTTTCTATACAGCTTGTCCGTAGGTTCTGTTCGTTTCCAACACTAATTCTTACCATTATTTTCAACTTGAATATTCATCAACAGATTTGAGAGAGCTAGTTATAAGAATTCTATTCACTCTCTTTTATTTAGACAGTCGTTTATTTTCAAACTGGTTTTAGGAATACCGGTTGTTTACAGGAATCAACTATTATTTGTTATATTGGATCATATCTTTTGGAGGGTTTTTCTCCCACTTTATATCCAATCACCATGATAATGTAAAAACAATGTAGATATTTTTTCTGAATTCAGAAAATGTTATACGCTTATTTTTAAGAAATATTTGTACTTGAGATTGTTTTGCAGAGACCTTGTATATTTTTTGGATAGATACTCTCAGCACTAATCATATATCTATTGGCGTAGAATGTTTGATGGACTTTATAGTTTACATCGTCAACTGGCCTTAGTTAGACAGCAATTGTTAGTCGTATTTACACTAATGACTACATTTGATATGAATTCTACAAGGTTGTAGTAAGAAGTAATTTGTAGAGCTAATCAAGTCAAAAACGAGCGAGCTATTTACCGAAAACAATGAATGAAGATTATACTATGTCAAAAAATTGGTTGCAGTTCAAAATTCGAACTAATGATCTGAGACTATGTGACCTTGTGTTGGCTAAACTGTATGTCGTAGGTTCGATTTTAAGTGTGTTTATGAATACGCACTATTGAATAGTTTAAAACCAGGATAAGGTGGCTATCCAGCGCCCATTGTCATTCAGCCCGGCACATATGCCTAAGCCAAATCAACACAACGAAATGAAATACGCAAGATGAATAGCAAACGACACGAAATAATAGTAATAGCACTGACCGTGAGAACAATTATACACTAAAGTATGGTTCGAGAAGAAAAGTACGTATAGATGAACATTAGGATCGACGATCTAGAGGAAGAGTATGTGCATCTACGTGATCACTACTTCCAAGCAATGTCGACCTCTGGTCACAATAGTTGTGCGGACCCTAACCAGTTAGTCTGCATCGACGAACGTAGCTCCCACGAATATCCAATGACTCCATAAAATGATATCTTGTTGTAGAGCGCCTAGTTCCCTTCCAACGTACTCCTACACCAATAAACAACGCCTGTTGAGGTAGACCGTGATTACGCATATATCCTAACAACCTCAAGTCGATGAAGATACAGTATCTCATCAACTAAAAATTTATGCTGAGTATCGCATGCTTAAACTCAGCATTGACCACTCAGTCGTTTCACGATACGATAGCAGTGTTTAGAAGACACGTACCATCAGAGGTTCCAAGTTTACACTTATCTTGTACTTTCATAAGTCATGTTTCACAGACATAGAGTAACAAAGAGTGAACACTTCAGTTAACAAATGGACGTCTCACCCATCCAAACACAGACTGAGCTGAATATGTGCTGAGATTTCGTCAGGCACTAACCCACCAAAGCTAACAAATGTAAGTAAAGTGGTCGAGGCTTTCAACCACTTCAGCTATCAGTTTAAAGGTTAACTCAGAGCAGTACTAAGGACAAATTCTGAAGTCAGGGGGAGAAAAACTCATTCCAAACATGTTTTAACTGTTAATCAAAATGATAAGAAGACTTCAATTCGTCATAGTCTTCACTAAACAGAATTATATTGTCTGGATATTGGAAGTCGATAAGTGAATGTCCTGGTAAAACAAAAAAACCCATGATTAAGATTTCACCTTATCTGAGAACGGAACACAGACTCTGTGACACAATGACAGATAAGCCAGCTATTCTGACGCGTCCCAGTTCAGCTAACCAGAGAGAGAGAGAAGTCCAAGTTCGTAAGAAGGAAATATATTCCACAAGCAGCCAGAAGCATGAAAAAAAGCGCAAATCAAGCGTATATATACAGCATAAAAAACGGTACAAAATAGCATACTAAAAGAGATAACAAACCAATAGCATTGAAGTCTCTTCCAAGTAGAAAATAAAATATGAAAGTGAAAATGAGCGCTTTTAGAGCGAAAACAAAAAAAATTGAAATTCCTAAAACAGAATTACAAAAATAAAGCATTTACCAAGTGAGTACTAGTGATTTAACATCCCCCACCACATGAAAATTCAGATAAGGGGAGCACAGTGTCCCAAAACGACATCTATGATGACGTTAAGCAAAAAAACACACTAGAATAGTGAACAAACTTTGCTTTAAATGTACGATTCTAATACCAATCGTAATCTATAACTCAATTTACAGTATTCAATTAGAGATTATGTCAGTTTGTAACTCATATAAATCTAATTTATATTTAATTTTCTCAATGATTTACAATTTCTGATTAGAAAAAAGCAAACAAACAAAAAAAACAGGCTGGTTTTACTGAATAGATTTTCTATGGATTCTTCTCTTTTCATCTTATCTAATGTATCTATGATTGGTTTATTTGATTTTTATTTAATATCAGAAGGGGTTTGTGGAGATTTTAGAAATTTTCACAGATTGAAATCATGAGTCAGTTGAAGCTAGACCACCATTGAAAACCTGGAAGCACTGGACGGCCGTTTCGTCCTAGTATGGGACTCCTCAGCAGTGTGCATCCACGATCCCACACCTCGTGGGATTCGAACCCAGGACCTACTGGCTTCGCGCGCAAGCACTTAACCACTAGACCACTGAGCCGGCATCCAATGGTGTTAATGTCTAACTTCAACCAATCCACGAAGTTGCGCCACTATATACCATTGTCTTCAGTGAGCTGATATCTCACAACAGACCTGGTTGAACTCCACTGGTAACGGCTTTAATAGATGGTCAATATTGTTTGATTAGAGATCAGTGAAACATATTTTGTATAATACTTATCATCATCATTTTTTTTGTCTGTTTAACTTTTAATTGTTTTGTTTTTATCTCTTAAAAGAGCTAATCATATAAATTACATTTTTAAATGAATTTAAGTCAATTTCATTATAAAGAAGTTATCAGCATAGGTTTGAGAAAAATTATGAAATGTACAGTCTAGTGAACAGTAAAAATTATATGAGAGAAGGTCACATACACACTGCTATTAGAGGTGTAAGGGCGGTTATCACTTCTCAGTTGCCCACATTGTGGGAGAGTTCTGAAGGTACCAGAAAAGGAAATTGGATTAAAGGTGGTCATAGTGACCTGTGAGAGTGACTGTAGTGCCAAAAGACAACTGCTTAAGGTCGGTCACACACGACCATTTTGTGGGCAATTTTCGTGTTACCTCTGTACTCGTTAAGACCTAACCGCCGGAGACGGATATCTGTGGGATAAGGCAAGGCGTGTATTTTTAGGGTCGACTTTTTCTAACTCCAGCATCGCCGTTATGCTGGTTGTTTGAAGGAAACACTTTACTGCCGTCACATCTCTGTACAGTCAGCAGTACGACTTCGCCCTCAGACCTTGGGTTTGCTGCTTATAGTCTTGCCGCTGTTTGAACGATCTGTCTGGCAGGGTAGGACCCTGAGGAACGATTGTTCCAGCCAGTATAGCTCGGTTGGTTCATCACAACAGGCAAGACTGACCACCACATCAAGGTAGCAACGGCCGGGATATGCATACGCACACATTCAATCCTATACCACGTTCGACTAGATTCATCAATATGATAATCTTCATCTTTTGTAATTAATCAAAATTATGAAGGTCAGTGAAAAGATATGATTTGAATGTTTTTCACAATCTAAGACTCATCAATTGAGTAGTCCTATACTACGATGAAACGACCGTCCAATGCTTCCAGGCTATTAATGGTGATCTAACAGCAATCGATTCATGATCTCAATAAAAAACAACAATATAGAATAAATATTTTTGTGAAGAAGTCATTCGTTCGGCTTTCACCGAGTACACTCGATATTGAACTGAAAAATATTCCCAGACACGTATTTTATCTCCTTTTTTTTTCTTCTTCCCATAATTTTATTTTCAAAAGTAGTAATAATTAATTCTTCATATGAATTAATGTGAGGAAAAAAAAATGTTTTTCCCCTATTAACATGCATATGTCTAACTGAGGGAAGTTTTTAAAGTATAATTTAGATTGAAGAATAATAATAATTGATTAACAAATGAATCATTAGATAGTTTCGATAATATACGAGGGGAGGGGGTGGAGAATTAGAAACAACAATTAGGGAGAGGAGACAATCTATTAATAATACAATAATTGAATGAAATTGGTGAATTTATTGAATTAAAGGCGACAATATCATTATAAGTTAATGATTTTAAAAAAAATCAATAAATGTTAAATAAAACGTAGAAAAAAAAGCAAAACTAAAACTGTAAGCCAGCGCGACCACACAAATTGTCTCCATACATATATCATATAGTTTTAGCAGTTATCAATATGTTTGTATATAAGTATCAGATGATTAAGTTTTATCTTATAACATCAAATGATATCTCCGATTCTACAACCATATACATGTAGAACATTTTGTGTGGACGTATCCATCTATTTCGTAATAAAATAGAGTGGAGAAAGTCAACCATATTCTATAATAGCTAACATAGAACCTTCAAATAGTTTACAATGATTTGTGAATAATCGATTATTTCGACAATAAAAAAAAACGTTGAAAAAAAAAACAAAACAAACAAACATAGTTCCAGTAACCCCTTATCTTCAAAGTTTTATAAATACTTTATTGACCTAAAATACATTGCAGAGGATTATCGACATTTTACAATTGTAATTCAATAGAAATTTGACCTTCATTTAACTGACTAGTATAAACAATTGAACATAAGATATTGTATTTAAATTAATGCTGTGATTAAGTGGACAGGAACAAACCATATTGATAGTAAAATATCTTTACTCTTTTTTCTACGAATCTATTATCAGCATCAACTATCTAAACAGGCATGAGATGTAAGTTGTGCAGGCTAAATGATCCTATTGAATGAGGGACAGAGGGTCGAAAAAAAAGAACCAATTACAAATTTGTCATAATTATGACAAGAACAAAATTGTTGATCAAGTCTGACATCAAGTAGAGTTTCATGTAGGAAAAACACATCATACAAGATGAGTAATCTCTAAATTTAGGTTTCATGACTTCAAGAAATAAGGTAAATACTGATAACATCATTTGTATGAACCGATGCACAGGCTCATTCTAGATTTTTTTTATTATACGAAAATAATAAGTAGGGATAGGCAAAAGGACTAATTGTCAATTTAGTAACGGAGAGAAGTGATGACTATTAAGAACAAGAGTTACCGAGAAACTATTGACAATTGGCAACTGTTCCAACTTATTACATAGACTAGAAAAGTTGTGAAAAAATTGGAAATAAAGCTTTAGTAAACCAACAATTTCCAGAAAATACAAGAATACTATAATAATGCAAGCAACAAATAAATTCACTGACGTTTTCAACAGGTTATTCTATTTGTAAATCGTAAATAACGACAGAAATGAATTTAGTTAGGTATAGATTATCTATCCTCCATAAATGTATAAGGACATATGTAGATTTTTAGCAGCCTATAACATTATTCTTGGTTAGGGTTGAACATTTAATGTTAAGATTATGGGGTAAGATTCAGGTGTCAGGATTTACGAATAGGGTTAAACTATGTGTTATATACAATCTAAATAGCAAGAAAAAGATTGAGCATTTTATGTATATTGATATGTATGATTTTTAAACCTAAGTGACGAAATGTCGCCCAAATACTCTAAACTCTTTTTCTCAACTCTTTAAATGACTTATTCCTTTTTATATTATAACATGTTGGGTATGTTAGATTCCTAGAACTCACTTGGTAAATACTTTATTTTTGTAATTTTATTTCGAAAATTTGACTTTCTTTGTTTTCGCACCAAAAGCGCTCTTTTCACCTTCATATCGTATTTCCTACTTAGGAAGATCTTAGATGCCATTGGTCCATTGTGTCTTTCAGTACGCTATTTTGTAACGCTTGCTAAGGACAGTTTTATGCTGTATATATATACGTTTGATTTGTGCTTGTTGTTGTCACTGGTGCTTGCGGAATATACTTCCCAGTTTCGAACTTCGACTTCTCTCTCTAGTTAACCGAGGTGGGACGCATCAGAACAGCTAGCTTATTGGTCTTTCGTCACACAGAATCTTCGTTCCATTCTCAGACAACGTGAACTCGTAATCGCTTCAAACATAGCATAACATTTCTGATATAAAGATTTCCAGAAAATCACTTTAAACAAATAAGCTATAATAAGCCTATTTTAATTTTTATACGTCAATTATTCTTATAAAACATAAACAACAACTTACAATCATTCAATAAACAACGATTAATTGATGAACAACAGATTCATATTGTATTATAGAAACACCAATTGATCATAAACAAATTAAGGAATTCATCAATTATTCAAATAGTTTTTTTGTTTAAAGAAAAAGCATTAAAAAAAATAGTTGTTTCTGAATACACTTTTTTTCCCCCGTTTCATCTTTACTCACTCACTCACTCGCTCTTCTATTTATTCATTGTTTTGAGGTAAAATACCAATTCGTTGAAGTGTTGCCAACTCCAATGATGTATGATATCGACTAAATTCATTATAATAAATTTGATGAGATAAATCAGATAGGAAATTACATAGAAATTCCTTTGTTTTTTTTTAACAAAAAAGAAAAAAGAGAAAGAAAGTAGATCAATTTTAAGAATTCGTGACATTACTGATATTTGAATGTTGAAATTCAAGTGTCAATAATTTGGGCATCATTGATGTTCATTTAAAAATGATGCCTAATTTCAAATTATCAGTTTATTTTTACTTAAAACTTAACAAATTCAAGCATAGATTCATAGAATACTTGATGTATATAATCCAGGTAACAATCATGTTTTGCTTTACCTTTGATGTAAAGTTACTCTTCTCGATCGTATCATTTCTGTGTACGCTGTTGATTCTTGGTTCTAGATAAGATTATGGTGAAACTATGATTTGTGGACGATCTTTGAGCAACGCTTAAGTGACCTTGATAGTGTCCACTCAATAAATAGGACCAAATGAAGGTTATAAACCAGTGTGAGGAATTATAATTATGATTTACAGTTGATGGTTAGAATTAGAAATAAGATTTAGGATTTTCATCACGAACTGAAATCAGCTATAATGTTAAAACTTTATTTAGCCAATTGGATGAGTAAATCTTGCGCCGAAATCCGAGACCTGTTATCTTATAACTGATTGGTTCATCCATAAATTATAGTCTCGCCAAGATTATTATTATTATCAATTTCTATGTCCAATTCCAATTTTCTCAATATATCACACTTCCATTATATGACTTTTTTTACTGACTGTATTAATTTTTTAAAAATCCAACCATATACTTTAGCGGGTGTAACATTGATTCATTTTGTGCTTGATTTTTACTGCTTAAGCTGATTTAATTGATCTATCATTTGACGATATAATTATGTTTTTAGTTTATCAGTAGTTTTTTTCTCTTGGACAAGCAATTAGTTCTGTGGTTCTTGATGTTTTGTTTACTTGATAACTTGCAGTTTTGATTGTACCAAGTTTTTGAAGTACGAGTTGGACTGTGTGAATAAGAAAATCTAAGTATTTTGTACATCTTATACGGTATCTCTGTGTTTATATAGTACCGCTACTATATTTGAACTGTTTTTGTTCTGATTTATTGGCAGTTATAAGAGAGTCACTGACTAATCTAAATGTTATACAGGTCATCACGGAATTCCAAGAGTTCTAGACGTAGTAATCTATTCAATATGACGAAGAGCTATAGTTACTGTCAAAGTTGATGTACTTCGGAAATCATGTATAGGTTGAAAAATTCATCTTTGAGTATACTGTATTTTATGGTCTAGTCTGATCATAATGAACACTTTACCAATCAGTCATCCGGAGTATAAAGAGACTATGAATATCCAGAGAGTCGTATTTCATAAATTAGAAATTGTAATATATACAACCCATTATTTATCCACAATTTACTATAGTGATCCAGGTAGGGACATATTAAAATGAGCTAAGCTAGTTTAAGTTTGAATGATATAAATCCAGCCCATGAAAAGTAGATCTTCCAACTACACATGTTGCTATGCAGGTAGCGCGTATCAGTGTTATATTATGCCTTGTTTATGTATGTATATGAACTAACAATAATATCGAAGTACTCAAAATAAAATACATTCACAAGGCACCCAGAGACTGAAAGATTGGGTGAGTATCTACAAATTCATAAATAAAGTAGATAAGCTAGATCTTTTATTTTATTTATTTCAACACGTAAACATTGGTACAAGGAGGCACTAAATAAATATACGCAACATAAATCATTCGATTTGTGTGAGGGCTGGGATACTGACAGGGTGCCCAAACGAAGCAGGTGGTTTTCTTAAAAGGCCACAGCCCGAACCTATGATCTAAAGGTTTGATCCACAAGTCAGTCAGTCAGTAACAACGTAGAACTTCGTACATATGTACATCAGTTCGAGTTGCCACACCACATTAGCACAGAGATGCAGTTGTCGACTCAAATCCCGCGGTGGTAGAGGTAGCAAGAGTATAAGCAGTAATCGGGAAGATTAGGGTTTGGAGATGTTGATGTTGATCCACAAGGCAGTGGAACAACGTAAGGAAATGCAATACCACGGTAGCCGGTGATCAATAAAGGATTCATACGCCTTTTGCTCTGCTCAGGATCCTGGAGCCCATGTTCACCGTTGGTTTGGAATCAGGGTTTTCCAACTCCCCTAAGTGGATTGTTCTGTTGGGGAGATCCAGAAAACTCCTTTTAAAAAAGTCATGAAAGGCTCTGAAAACACTGAGAAGTATCAGGGTTCACTAGAAGTTTTGACAGAAACATTTAGAAAGTGAAAATGCCCCATGTCGAGTTGCTGATTGTATGATTACCTATACTGCTACTATGTTTAGTAGCATTCCAGAATTTTCGGGAAACCCAAGGACATCTAAGGTACTATAAAAACTCTAGATTTTCTGTACATGTTCAAATCGCCGTTTATATTTAGCCTAGGGGTTACTAGAAAAGCTTAAGAACCAAAATCTAGCATTCAATTACAATATTTATCACATTCATATTCAACAAATCGGTTAAAACACTGAACATTCACTTTTCATCCTCTCAATTTCATAAACAACACCCTCGTTTAGAGAAGGCAATCAATAGGAATTCCTTTGACAGTAGCTGAATACGCATGACTATATGAGTATTTCGAGGAGGTGGAGTTGGCTCTCCTCACTCTCGACTGTACCAGGGCATTTAAGGGCTAAGAGTCTTATATACATTTTTCTAATTGATTGTCAAGTCATTTTAACTATAGTGAATGTATTCAACAAAGATTCAAGCTACAATCTAACATATTGTACACTTACATAATAAGTTCATTAAGAGTTTTTTTTTTTAAAAAAAACAACCTATCAACATTTTAATATGGACAACAACAAGAATAATTTTCTAAAAATCAATAAAAATAAGCTCTTTTTTTCTTTTCTAGATAAAACAATTATGAACAAATTTATAGAAAAATATAATTAAATTTCAATAATTATTTTTTTTTTGTTCTCTCTTTTAAGCGGAACTTTTATTGATTAACTCTTATGAGAGAAAAAAAAAGAAAGAAACAAATATACCAAGTTCTATATAAATATAACAGTATTAGTGTTGAAATGGTTTAATCAAGGTTGGGTTTTTTTGTTTTTGTTGTTGTTGCTGTAATCTCTGTTAGTATCTGTGATATCCTAATGAGAATAATGAATGGTAACTATTGCCATCCATTTATGGGTCAATACTATACGTATATTTCTTATTGTATAATTGTTAAATAATTAAACTATTCATATTTGTGTTCTTCTTATTCTAAGCTTTATTTTGATCTATGAACTATTATTATATCATTTACTATTCTTGAGTTATGTCCTGTCTATCAATTACTATCTCTCACATTCACAGCTACGTTTTGGCTAAATCTTGTACAAATGTTATTTTCTATTTTATGGTACAATGTGGTCTGTTTAGTTCTGTATATAAACCCAGTATGTTTGAAATAAATGATTCATATTGTAGAGGCTGAGATTGGTGTTCTGGACTTAACAAGTAGAGCTAGACGGGAATTAGGACCAATAAAGACTTTAGACTGCTCGTACAGATTGTATTTGTTATTGGTCCGGTCGATAATTTACTGTTCTTTAATTGGCGGTATCATTACGTTGTACGTTAATAAGACATACGGAACAAGTTATAAGAATATCGCCAGACTGATCTCATTTAGAGTACTATTGAAAATTAGTGAACATAGTATAAGTGTTTCCCCCGAATATGGATTTTCTCGATGGTTGTCCATTTAAAACCCCATCAGTGATTAAACCCAGAATGCTCAGGTGTTGAGGAGAACGTTTATACATTCAAACTATTAGGTTGAGATTGAATTGTTCGATTTGAAATTTAATCGTTGCGTCATACCATGAATTGATTGAAGTTGGACTCGCACAATTCGATGGCGATAAAATTTTTGCAGTGGTTTTTTATTCACTTCCAGACTTGAAAGTTTTGAGTGTGCACCGATAAGGAGTCCCGTACTAGAAAGAAACAAATGTCTAGTGATACCTGGTGGCTCAGTAACTATGTCGTCCATTTTTCAGCCACTAAGTAGCAAGTTTGAACCTCACTGCACCTATTTAATTTTGCGAAACCCAGTGGTAGTAGTCCTTGGTTCAAAGCCCAGTATACGGAACTGTACCTGGTTGATAAGTTAGTAAATAATAAAATAGATTGCGACCAATCTGTGACGAATACAAATATAACAGTTTGTGTTTTTTGCTGTCAATTTCATGAGAACTGAATAATAGTTTAAGAACAGATATGCATAATGGTCTAGGTATCTGAAATTACACAGTACATAACCGAGTACTAATTGTAATCAAACTGATCAAATTTGATTAGTAATAGATAGCGCTAATTTCAACTATAGGTTGTTGAGTTGATAAATCAGAGGTCGCTTACTTCTAAGCTCTGTTATGACTCAATTTCAATCATCATTTACGTATACATAAATACGTAAGCTAAAAGTTCAAATTTTGTAAGATAAAATGCAAGATTTTACGAGGTAGATAAACTTTGATCATCTTAACACACACCTGATACTCCTCGTGAAGGAGCATAGGCCGCCCACTAGCATTCTCCATTAGACTATGTCCTGGGCAATCCTTTCCAGTTGTTATCCATTCTTTCCAATTCCTGACGCAGTGTGTTCTTAGACCATCCTCTTTTCCGTGAACTTTCACAATTCCAAGTTAGCGCTTGCCTCGTGATGCAGTTTGGTGGTTTCCTCAATGTACGTCCTATCCGCTTCCAGCGTCTTTCCTTAATTTCTTCTTCAGTTGGGAGCTCGTTTGTTTTCTCTCCCAATAGGTTGTTACTGATGGTATCCGGCCAACGGATATTGAGCATCTTAAGTGGACAGTTGTTTATAAATACTTGTACTTTTTCGATGATAGTTGTGGTAGTTCTCCAGGTTTCAGCCCAGTACAGTAGAACTGACTTAACGTTTGTATTGACGATTGTGACTTCACATTTGCATCAGATCCTCCTTGTTTATCGATGATGTTGTCTAGGTACATGAAACTTTTCATCTCTTCCAGAGTTCCTGCACCAAGTGTGATTGGGTTAGTGTTCTCTGTGTTGTATTTGAAGATCTTGCTTTTTCCCTTATATATATTAACAGGTGAACACTGTGTACGCCAAGTTCAAGGTTATACAGCTGATTATTGTTGATAATAATACCTACATAGAAGTTAACTATAAACTATACACCAAACGATGACTACAATGGAAAAAATCAATACCACAGTTGATTTTGAATCCGTTAACTTAATGTCATCGTTCTGTTTTACTGGAATTGAGTTAAAAGGTCAACAACAATGATTACGTGTTAATCCCACAATCGTTGAGTTTTGTGTTTCGGATTGTTGACAAAATAAAGGGTTCATTACACATTTTCTTATTTCAATCAATATAACTTAAGTACTGAAATTTATGTGACCTTTGAAACCAGTAAAATAAACGTTTTCTCATATTTATGACACATAAATATACAATTCCATTATATTTAAAAGTAAAATCCCGCTCACTTTCAAATTTACATTCATAATAGGATCTGTTGAATAGATTGGATCTTCTGATAAGATGATATCATCGTCTTCTGTGTCGACGTTACCTGTGAAGACACGTGTTTTAGAAGAAAAATTAGTACTCTTCATATTGTCATAAAAACTAGTTATGTTAGTCGTGCAGTGTCATGGAGTATTCAAAAATCGACGGTTTGTGAAACAAACGATGAAGGTAGAATTTACATTATGAATTGATATCAGCTAGGAAATCATACACAGTAGTGAGTATGTACTGTTAAAGACCTTAAACTATCCGTTGTCCTCTATGGATCACTGGTTTTTATGTGTTTACTTATGCAACTAGAAAACGAGTCGACAAATTTCAATCATAATTAACAACTTATTATCAGGTTTCTTAATTAAATTTAAGATCTCTCGGTGACATTAATATTATAGCTTACATCACGAACTGACCTTGGTTAGATAACGATTGTGAATTAGGAAGTACTGGACAGTCATTTTGTCCTAGCATATGACTCGGTAGTGCTCATGGTGTAGTTTTAAAATTATTGAAATTTTTTATTTGCTTCATACAATAAATCAAAAAGCTAACAAACATAACAGAAGTATATTTCTACATCAATTGATGACTGCATTCCTCAACTTGATATATAAAATCGTTTAATAGAGTAAAGGATTAAAGCAGTTTGAATATATAATGGAGGTGATAGATGAGATATAGATTACTTATAATCAATATATACGCAGTGATTTATTAGATAGCAAGAATAAAATCTTTTAATGGATATGAGATTCTGCTATCCGTTATTTTATTTAAATACATATACCTTGGTACACCTTGGGCATCAAAATATATGTGGGCCACGCTAGTTATTATTAATTTTGCGTGTGGGCTGGGATACTGACCGGGAGACCAAACAGAAGCAGGTGGCTTTCATAGGGAGCCCCACACCCCGAACTTTTGACCTAGAAGTCTAATCCATAAGGCAGTAGAGCAACGCTATGAGATGCAGTACTATGGTAGCCGGTGACTAACAATAGGTTCATACGCCTTTTGTTCTGCTCAGGATCCTGGAGCCCATGTGCACGATCAGTTTGGGACCAGGGTGTCCCAACTCTTCTGGGAGAATTCTTCATATCCACTAACTCGGTTAAAGTGCTGAACATTCACTTATCGTCCTCTCAATTTCGTAAACAACACCCTTGCCTAGAAAAGGCAATCAGTAGAACTTTTTTTGACAGTAGCCAAATACGCGTGGCCATTTGAGAGTATTTCGAAGGGAAGAAATAACTCTCTCCACCCTCGACCGTACTGGGGCATCTGGGGGTCATGAGGTTCCACAAGATTACAGATATATTCTGATGATGAGCGTTAAGAAACAATGAAGCTGGATTCATGTCGGATTTGAAACTTTTTAAAATAAATCTATCATAAAATGTCATATCTAGAGTTACAGGATAGATTAATTTCACTATAATTTGATTATTACTTATATGACAAGTCGACATAATCTAGATTACTAGTTCTTTCATAGTCGATTATAGTTTTATTACTAATGAATAGGATTATAGGACATGAATTCTTAAATATCTGCCTATATTGCTGTTCTATTTAAAACCTGATAAAAGGTATTCCAAATTTGGACTATTTGAAGTAGTTGATTTTATAAGACAAAAGCAATAAGTAGAAAAATTAAAAATGAATCGTGTTATGTTGTTCAAATGTGATAAAGATCTAAACTGAACACTCTTGATATAACCCGAATTAAAGTTACATGTCTATACGATTAATATTCTTTAATTTCTAACAAACATTTGAGTTATACATATTTGTGATTGAAGTCGTGTTAGTTGATTGTGCAAAAAGATTAGAAAAAAAAAATTCAATTAGCATTATACTTTACAGTTGATTGATAGACAATAGAAGTTCGTAACTTTAATTGTTCACTTTTGTTTTTGTTCACCGATTATATTGATTTTACTACAATCGACCAGTATTTTGAAGGCCTTGAATAACCAAATGCCATAAAAATTATATTCGCATCTATGAAAATGAGTATGTCACCATTTACCAAAATTATGTATATACTTTACTCATTTCACTAAAAGTAAGGGAAAAGAAAATCGGATTCTCACTAAAAGAAATTGAAGAATTTGATTTGTGTCCATAAGTCAAACATTAAACTCTGTATTGTGAACAATGAGATGAGATGACAGAAGACAATAAGAATGAACTTATTATCTGTTGGGTTGTTGGAGGCAGTCAAAGTGAGAAGAGGTCCTCCATGATTGTTGGCACACGTCACTAAGGTTTACCTCCAACAAACTAATGTCCTCAATGTACTGCGCACAATATCAAATCACTTAGACTAGTGGATTCAATACAGTACTAAAAGAGTAGATAAACATAACACTAGCCACCACTCAGTAATAAGACTCACCACTTACTAACCTACTGCTTAGCTCCTTTTTATAAATTAACCCTATTTACATTCAGTAATAATAATAATGAATTGATCTTCTGACGTCTCCTTGCTTCTTTAGAGAATCAGTAAACATTCAAACTGAATTAATAAAAGTTTAAACGATACAAAGGAAGCAAAGAAGATTAATTTTAGTTCCATCAAAAATAAGTTTGGTCATATTAATAACATATCATTCCGATCGAAGATGATTTTTATTGAGATACATACACTTGTTTATATTTTAGTGAATGTGAAAAACTGTGATATTAGTGAAATGTCTCGTGTTTTTTACTAGTGTGAGAAGTAAAAAGAATTAGATATGCGGTTATTTAAATAAATAGTCCAAGTTGGTCATTTATTTATCCTCTGAATAAGTGACGTACATCAAGTTACGAAACGTTAGAAATGAGAACTTCTACTGATTGAGATCTAAAAAATGTATCATTATATTGATTACTAACAATTTACCTAGTGCTCAATTTATTCAAAATTATCAAGTAAAAACTACAGTAATACTTATAAACTTATTTAAAACTACCTGTGCATTATTCTGGGATACTGCTCAGATGACCGAACCGAAGCAAAAGATTTTCTTAAAGAGTCACTTCATGAATCTTTAACTTACAAGTCTAGCCCTCAAAATGGCAGACCAGAATAAGGAGAAGTAGTCCTATGGAAGCCGGCGATCAAATATAAGTTCATACGCTACTCATTTCCTTAAGATTCTGGAGTTCATGTACAGCATTGGTTTGAAATCAGCGTTTTCCATTTACTCTAGACAGACTCTCTGTATTAAAAAGTCCAGTTTAGGCGCTAGGTATCTGCTTTCGATCCTCTTACTTTACAAAAACACCCTTCGGAGAGAAAACAGTGAAGAGTTTATTGGGAGAGGCTATAAACATATGGCTGTATAGGAACATTTCAAGCGAGAAGGGCAAACTCTTCCCACTCTCAGAGTTACCAGAGCATTAAAAGGTCTAGTCTAAAAATAAGTTAATTCTAAGGGGAAAATGTTATCATGTTTTAAAGCTACTTCCCACACGTTGATTATAACCCACAATTAAACCACATACAGTGGGTTTAGCTTTTCTAAATAATGAGTTGAGTATTTCAATAAAAGCAAAGGTCTTAATTAAAATCAACGTGGATAAATGGAGGAGAGGTAGTTAGCTAACTGTCATCATCAACACTGCGTGTTACATACATACTAAATAAACCAGAAAAATTATCGGATTGGTATGATCAGTGTTTTTAAATAGGAGAACATATGTGAATGAAATTATCCAATGGATATGAGCAGCTAGTGAACAAGGAAAATGTTTAATGATCATTCATAAACAACCACTAATCATTAATATATATATATATATATATATATATATATATAGTCCATAAATTAGTTCTGGGAGTTACCATTTCTTTAGTCTACGTTCGGACATAACATTATGCTAGATTGTTATCACTGATAGTGATTGTGTTATATACTGTGAATTGACTGCACTCATTCAGGTCAAATATTTTGTTAATATCACAGTATCATTAATCACTATTTACTTAACTTTATTTATGCCATTAAACTATAAATAACAGTCAAGTTATTGTCAGTATGGTAAACCCAAAACACTTACATACATATTTGTTACAAAAACTCACGTTACATTATCAAAAAAAACGCGTGAAAATGATTTAATTAATTTCAAGGAATTTAGCCGCTGTTTATCAAGAAACCTGAAAGTCATAGACTAGTAAATATGTACTCCCAATAACAAACATCTCGCTAACGTGTCACAAGTGACTCATGTTAATAAAAGTCAGTCAAACTTTCGGAATCCCTACCGAGATTTCGTCAGACACCTTAAGTTGTGCTGAATTACAAATAGTGAAATTAAAATGAATGTGAGGACATTAAAAGACTACTTCGATACATTAGAAAAACTGTCATAAGTCAAAGAATTCTAGGGTGAGATATAAGCATTATACGACGTTTTTACTATTAAAATTCTAGAAAATACACGTACAACTTTGAAGTTGTGGAAAGCAATATATGAGAATGGATGAATGTATGTCTAGTATTCATCAACTTGGACTAATATCAATTTCATAGTATGAATCAGTAGAATAGTGAAAACCATCAGACGTGACATTGTAGTATTTGTCAAGTGGTTTAAATTCATAGGAAGCACAACAATACACACTGGTAGTGTTTAAACTCTTTCAAATAACGAGTCATTGATTAAAAATAGAAATAAATAAACTTGAGGTTTCAAAAGGTTACTATGTTAACATTTTTATGAAACTTTCAACAATAACAAAAATAACGCAATATATGTAATGCACGTGAACATTGACATATTCGTATCCATGATTTGTTAATAAGTAGAGACAGAAACTGCGAAGTACAAGAATATTCTTGATACATTTGGTAACTAGCAGTACTTTCAGGAGATTACAGAAGTTGGTGTAATTTTTTAATCTGACTGGTCTTTACAGGATCTTATGAAACTATTGTAGCTCGGTCTATAATACACATGGTGTTACGAATCCAGAAATTTAATTAAATTTCTGTATTACAAGTGTTCTGTGTTCAGCAAAGTTTACCGATTTACAACCTAATAAAGTCA